GCTCTATAAATACATGGTTTGACCAGTATGGTGTGGAGGAACTTAAGTGTCCTGCATGGAGCCCTGACCTCAGCCCTACCAAACACCTTTGGAGAAAAATTGGAATACCAATTGTGAACTAGGTTTTCTCATCCAACATCAGAACCTGACCTCACAAATGGATACAAACTTCTACAGACACCCTCCAAAATCTTGTCAAGGTTTGACCAGCTTGACCAGTTTGGTGTGGAGGAACGTGGGTGTCCTGTACTGAACCCTGACCTCAACCCTACTGAACACCTTTGGTATGCATTGGAACACTGATGGTTACCCAGATCTTCTCCTCTTAGTGTATGCAGAATTACATCAGCAAAACGTGTCCTGTAGTGTACATGACCAGTTCACCAGTCTTCTCTCTCGTGCAAATGGAAGGTAACAAACATAAAGACATCAGTGTAAGATGACAACCAGAGGTGGAGTGTGTTACATTCAGATGAGGGGCCAACCCTTCTGAAAAAACAGTAACCGCCCAACCCTGAAATAATGTTCTATAGAGACAGAGTATGCTTGTATAGAAAAGTACTGTATTTAAAGGATAAGTATACCTTTGTGGTAAAAAAAAATAAATAAATGTAAGGTTGTTCCTTATCATACCCTGTTCAATGCGTTTGCTGTTAGGAGTCATAAAATGATTTTTTTCCCACACTGCACCTTTCTCCTGTGTCAGGAATCATATGTACAAAAACAAAATACGATCCTACAACAATAGTTGTATTGGTAGAGCGCGGAACCCACAGGTAGGAAACCCAGCTCCATAAAGACATGGTTTGACCAGCTCCAGAAAGACATGGTTTGACCAGCTCCATTAGGACATGGTTTGACCAGCTCCATAAAGATATGGTTTGACCAGCTCCATGAAGACATGGTTTGAGCAGTTCCATAAAGACATGGTTTTTGACCATGGTTTTCCATAAAGACATGGTTTGACCAGCTCCATAAAGACATGCTTTGTTTGACCAGCTCCATAAAGACATGGTTTGACCAGCTCCATAAAGACATGGTTTGACCAATTCCATAAAGACATGGTTTGACCAATTCCATAAAGACATGGTTGACCAGCTCCATTAGGACATGGTTTGACCAGCTCCATAAAGACATGGTTTGACCAGCTCCATAAAGACATGGTTTGACCAGCTCCATAAAGACATGGTTTGACCAGCTCCATAAAGCTCCATAAAGATATGGTTTGACCAGCTCCATAAAGATATGGTTTGACCAGCTCCATGAAGACATGGTTTGAGCAGTTCCATAAAGACATGGTTTGACCAGCTCCATAAAGACATGGTTTGACCAGCTCCATAAAGACATGGTTTGACCTGCTCCATAAAGATATGGTTTGACCAGCTCCATGAAGACATGGTTTGAGCAGTTCCATAAAGACATGGTTTGACCAGCTCCATAAAGACATGGTTTGACCAGCTCCATAAAGACATGGTTTGACCAGCTCCATAAAGACATGGTTTGACCAATTCCATAAAGACATGGTTTGACCAATTCCATAAAGACATGGTTGACCAGCTCCATTAGGACATGGTTTGACCAGCTCCAGAAAGACATGGTTTGACCAGCTCCATAAAGACATGGTTTGAGCAGTTCCATAAAGACATGGTTTGACCAGTTCCATAAAGACATGGTTTGACCAGCTCCATAAAGACATGGTTTGACCAGCTCCATAAAGACATGGTTTGACCAATTCCATAAAGACATGGTTTGACCAATTCCATAAAGACATGGTTGACCAGCTCCATTAGGACATGGTTTGACCAGCTCCATAAAGACATGGTTTGGTTTGACCAGCTCCATAAAGACATGGTTTGACCAGTTCCATAAAGACATGGTTTGACCAGTTCCCATTAGGACATAGTTTGACCAGCTCCATAAAGACATGGTTTGACCAGCTCCATAAAGACATGGTTTGACCAGCTCCATAAAGACATGGTTTGACCAGTTCCATTAGGACATAGTTTGACCAGCTGCATAAAGACATGGTTTGACCAGTTCCATTAGGACATAGTTTGACCAGCTCCATAAAGACATGGTTTGACCAGTTCCATTAGGACATGGTTTGACCAGCTCCATAAAGACATGGTTTGACCACTCTATAAAGACATGGTTTGACCACTCCATAAAGACATGGTTTGACCAGCTCCATAAAGACATGGTTTGACCAGCTCCATAAAGACATGGTTTGACCAGCTCCATAAAGACATGGTTTGACCAGCTCTATAAAGACATGGTTTGACCAGCTCTATAAAGACATGGTTTGGCTCCATAAAGACATAGTTTGACCAGCTCCATAAAGACATGGTTTGACCAGCTCCATAAAGACATGGTTTGACCAGCTCCATAAAGACATGGTTTGACCAGCTCCATAAAGACATGGTTTGACCACTCTATAAAGATATGGTTTGACCAGCTTCATAAAGACATGGATTGACCAGTTTGGTGTGGAGGAACTTAAGTGTCCTGCACAGAGCCCTGACTTCAACCCTACTGAACAGCTGTGGGAAAAATTAGAATACCAATTGTGAGCCAAGTCTTCTCATCCAAATATAGAACTTGACCTCACAAATGGACACAAATTCTCACAGACACTCCGAAATCTTGTCAAGGTTTTACCAGTTGGCCAGTTTGGTGTGAAGGAACTCGAGGCACTTTCTGTACATCACAGAGATGCCCCTTCACAGGCAGGATTAGTACCCCCCTCCCCCCAGACATGTTATTTAGAGGAAATGGACTATTGAATGTTTTCACTTTTCAACAAAAATCACTGCTCCTGGTCAAATTTCTTTTTTTTTCTTTTTTCTTTTTTGCATTGGAACTTGTTTCCCAAGGCAGTGCACACCCCTTGCTAATTTTGTTACATCCCCTCAGCTATTAGCTCAGAAAATGAACGTTTTTATTTGACAGATTTGGTTTCCATTGATTACAATGGGGTTTGGGTTCAGCATCTGAATTTCTTTGAAGTAACCAGGCCTGGATCTAGGTGGGTGCTGGGGAGGGCTGTGCACCCCCTCCCCCAGGATTTTTGTCCCCCCCCCCCCCCCCGGTCTCTGAAAGTGCATCCACGGATCCATGAGGCATTCTGATGGGTTCAGTTGACGTAAGGGGGCACTCTCTTGGGACAATTGATATAAGGGGTTACTCTGTTGTGGACAGTCGATGCAAGGGGACACTCTGACGGCGACATTTTATGCAAGTGGGAACTCTGAGGGGGACACCTGATGTAAGGGGGCACTCTTATGCGGACATCTGATGTAAGGGGGTACTCTGGTGGGACAATTTATATATGGGGTTACTCTGATGTGGACAGTTGGTGCAAGAGAGGGAACTCTGATGGGGACACCTGATTCAAGGGGGCACTCTTATGGGGACATTTGAAGCAAGACGAAACTCTGATGTGGACAGCTGATGTAAGGGAGTACTCTGGTGGGACAATTGATACATGGGGTTACTCTGATGTGGACAGTTGATGCAAGAGGGAACTCCAATGGGGATACCTGATATATGGGGGGATTCTGATGGGGACAGTGATGCAAAAAGGAACTCTGATGGGGACACCTTATGTAAGGGGGTACTCTGATGGGGACACCTGATGTAAGGGGGTACTCTGATGTGAACATTTGGTGCAAGAGAGAACTCCAATGGGGACACCTGATGTAAAGGGGGATTCTTATGCGGACAGTGATGCAAGAGGGAACTCTGATGGGGACACCTGATGTAAGGGGTTACTCTGATGGGGACAGTTGATGCAAGAGGGAACTCTGATGGGGACACCTGATTCAAGGGGGCACTCTTATGGGGACATTTGAAGCAAGACGAAACTCTGATGTGGACAGCTGATGTAAGGGAGTACTCTGGTGGGACAATTGATACATGGGGTTACTCTGATGTGGACAGTTGATGCAAAAGGGAACTCCAATGGGGATACCTGATGTAAGGGGGGATTCTGATGGGGACAGTGATGCAAAAAGGAACTCTGATGGGGACACCTGATGTAAGGGGGTACTCTGATGTGAACATTTGGTGCAAAAGAGAATTCCAATGGGGACAGTTGATGTAAAGGGGGATTCTTATGCGGACAGTGATGCAAGGGGGCACTCTGATGGGGACATTTAATGCAGGGGGGAACTCTGATGAGGACACCTGATGTAAGGGGTTACTCTGATGGGGACAGTAATGCAAGGGGGAACTTTGAAAATTGCAATAGTAGTAATAATAAAAATAGCAATAAAAAATACTACTACTAGTAATAATAAAAATAATATGCTAATATTAATACTTCTAATAATATTAATAATAAAATAGGAATATGACTTTTACTACTAATACTACTAATTACTATTAGCAAGAATAATAATAGCAATTCTACTACTGCTGGTAATATTATTCATATAATAAAAAATAATAATAAAATACTACTATTATTACTACTAATAATAATAACAACAAAACAATCATCAGGATCATGACGGTATAGAGGACAAAATTATTATTATTATTATTACTATCAGTAGTATCAGCATTTTAGTATTAACAATATTAGTAGTATTTCATTAATGTTTTTAGTCTTTTATTACTAATAATACTTATACAAAACTACTACTACTAATATTATTAATACTAAAATGCTGATACTACTACTACTGATAGTAGTAATAATAATAGTAATAATTTTTCCCACAGTAAAACATGGCGTTTTTGTTGTACTCCTGTCATGTGATCTCGTTACTTTTTTTTTTTTTGCTTTTATGTGTCCGCAGTTCAACCACAAAGCGGCCATTTTCCCAAAGTCCAGGAAACATTGCTATGAAAGGAAAGGTCTCAGGGAAAATGTCCGTCATGAGGAGACAAAGAGGGGCGGAGTTTATTCTCGGCCGGGCGTGTCCCGGTGTAGAGGAGGATGTTGTTTCCGGCGCGCTGTGATGACGACAGAGGCCCGGAGCTATGGATGAGACAACATGAATAAAGGCTGGCTAGAGCTGGAGAGCGATCCAGGTACAGTGACTATAAACCCCCCCCCCGACACTGCACCCCCTACTGACACCCCAATACAGGGGAGACCTCCGTGAGAGTCTGAGGGGACGTACCCCACCCAAGTGCTGCATTGTACCCCCCCCCCCCAAACTGACCTCCATACTCTGTGTGGAACACCCTCCCCCCAAGGAGCAGATATGGGATTGACTGATTGAATGAACCCCCCCAGGGCAGATATGGGGGTGACTGGTGGAAGGAGCCCCCCCCCCCCCGGGCAGATATGGATTGGGGGTGAACTGGTGGAAGGAGCCCCCCCCCCCCCCCCAGGGGCAGATATGGGATTGACTGATTGAACAATGCCCCCCCAGGGGCAGATATGGGGGGGTGGTGACTGGTGGAAGGAGCCCCCCCAGGGGCAGATATGGGGAGTGACTGGTGGAAGGAGCCCCCCCAGGGGCAGATATGGGGGTGACTGGTGGAAGGATGCCCCCCCAGGGGCAGATATGGGGGTGACTGGTGGAAGGAAGCCCCCCAGGGCAGATATGGGGGTGACTGGTGGAAGGAGCCCCCCCAGGGCAGATATGGGGGTGACTGGTGGAAGGAGCCCCCCAGGGCAGATATGGGGGTGACTGGTGGAAGAAGGAGCCCCCCCAGGGCAGATATGGGGGTGCCCCCCCAGGGCTGTGACTGTGGAAGGAGCCCCCCCCCAGGGCAGATATGGGGGTGACTGGTGGAAGGCAGCCCCCCCAGGGCAGCTTTTATGGGGGTGACTGGTGGAAGGGCCCCCCCCAGGGCAGATATGGGGGTGACTGGTGGAAGGAGCCCCCCCCAGGGCAGATATGGGGGTGACTGGTGGAAGGAGCCCCCCCAGGGCAGATATGGGGGTGGCTGGTGGAGGTGTGTGGCGGCGATATGCAACATATTTCATGGTTACGTTTTATGTTCATGCGTGTATGTGAAGGGCCCTTAAAAAAATGTTTTGTTCTGGGGGGGGGGGGGGGGGGGTTTTGATGGCTTGAGGGGGGGGGGGGTGTTGTGTGTGCATAGGGCTAACTTTAAAGTTTTACAATTTAAAAAAAAAAATGTAATATTTGAGTGAGCCTTCCCTCCCCCCCCTCCATCATTGATCCCACCCCCCCCCCCCCCCCTCCATCATTGATCCCATCCCCCTCCCCCTCCCCCCCCCTCCATCATTGATCCCACCCCCCCCCCCCCCCTCATCATTGATCCCACCCCCTCCCCCCATCATTGATCCCACCCCCTCCCCCCCCTCCATCATTGATCCCACCCCCCTCCCCCCTCCATCATTGATCCCACCCCCTCCCCCCTCCATCATTGATCCCCACCCCCCTCCATCATTGACCCCCCCCCCAATCATTGACCCCACCCCCCCCATCATTGAGCCGTCTCTCCCCCCCCCCCATCACTGAGCCTTCCCCCCCCCCATCACTCAGCCTTCCCTCCCCAACACCTCCATCACTGAGCCTTCCCTCCCCACCTCCATTAATGAGCCTTTCCTCTCAATGAGACTTCCCTCCCCCATCTCCATCAATGAGCCCCCCCCCCCCCTCCATCAATGAGCCTTCCCACCCCACCTCCATCAATTAGCCTTCCCACCCCCCCTCCATCAGTGAGCCTTCCCTCCCTACCCCATCAATGTGCTTTCCTTCCTCCATCAGTGAAGAGGAATTGCCACCATATACACACTCCATGCAGCTTACATTTTTCTTTTTGCTGTGCAGGGCTCTTCACGCTGCTGGTGGAGGATTTCGGTGAGTACAATTTACCATACTTGTAGTTTCAGTCATTGGATCTGGTGCTTTTGGGAGGGGCAGAGACAGACTACTGGGGGAACTCTCCCCATTGTGGGAGGGGAGACACAAACTACTGGGGGAACTCTCCCCAGAGGGGCAGAGACAGACTACTAGGGGAACTCTCCCCATTGTGGGAGGGGCAGAGACAGACTACTAGGGGAACTCTCCCCATTGTGGGAGGGGCAGAGACAGACTACTAGGGGAACTCTCCCCATTGTGGGAGGGGCAGAGACACAAACTACTGGGGGAACTCTCCCCATTGTGGGAGGGGCAGAGACAGACTACTAGGGGAACTCTCCCCATTGTGGGAGGGGCAGAGACACAAACTACTGGGGGAACTCTCCCCATTGTGGGAGGGGCAGAGACAGACTACTAGGGGAACTCTCCCCATTGTGGGAGGGGCAGAGACACAAACTACTGGGGGAACTCTCCCCATTGTGGGAGGGGCAGAGACACAAACTACTGGGGGAACTCTCTCTCCCCATTGTGGGAGGGGCAGAGACAAACTACTAGGGGAACTCTCCCCATTATGGGAGGGGCAGATACAAACTACTGGGGGAAATCTCCCCGTTGTGGGAGGGGCAGAGACACAAACTACTGGGGGAACTCTCCCCATTGTGGGCAGAGACACAAACTACTGGGGGGCAGAGAGACACAAACTACAAACTACTGGGGCAGAGACACAAACTACTTTCCCCATTGTGGGAGGGGCAGAGACACAAACTACTGGGGGAAATCTCCCCATTGTGGGAGGGGCAGAGACACAAACTACTGGGGGAACTCTCCCCATTGTGGGAGGGGCAGAGACACAAACTACTGGGGGGAAATCTCCCCATTGTGGGAGGGGCAGAGACACAAACTACTGGGGGAAATCTCCCCATTGTGGGAGGGGCAGAGACACAAACTACTGGGGAAATCTCCCCATTGTGGGAGGGGCAGAGACACAAACACTGGGGGAAATCCCCTCTGCAGCACAAACATTTTGGCACCCAGTATTTCTGCCTCAGACCTGTAATCTCATGGTGTAGATTTGTTTTCGATGTTTATCATTTTTTTAGCATGGAAGTAAAATGTTCCGTTTTAGTTTACAATGTATCTAAAGGGAAAGCATGAAGCATTGTGTGTCTGAATCTGACTCTGTCTCTCTCAGGTGTAAAGGGGGTTCAGGTGGAGGAGATTTATGACCTGCAGAGCAAGTGTCCGGGGTAAGATGCACATTATTGTAGTAATATATATTATCATGTTGTATATATTATGTTTGTTCTTCACCTCCCTCATCCCCCTCCCCCGCCTCCCTCATCCCCCTCCCCCCCCTCCCTTCTCTCTGACTGTCTCCTGCCCCCTCCAGGCCGGTCTATGGCTTTATCTTCCTCTTCAAATGGATCGAGGAGCGCCGTTCCCGCAGGAAAGTCTCCACCCTGCTGGACGACACGTCAGTCATGGAGGAGGATGTCGTCAACAACATGTTCTTTGCTCACCAGGTGAGATAAACGGATTTTTAGTTTTACGTTTGTTTTTACCCGAAACTTCTCTTCTGTTTCATCATCACTGAGATCTTAAAGCTGAAGTTTATTCTCCTTCTGTTTGCCTCCTGGTTCCTCCCTCCCTCACCCCAGTCTCTCACCCCCCCCACCCCAGTCTCTCCCCCCCCCCCCCCTCCTCCCCAGTCTCCCCCCCCTCCTCACCCCAGTCTCCCCCCCCCCCCCCCCCAGTCTCTCTCCCCCCCCCCCCACACCACCAGTCCATATGCTAGAAATTGTATTTTAAAATAAAGTCTTTCTATTTACATTATTTGCCTTTTTCATTCATTTTGGGTAAAGTGTTGCATGACCGAGTCATTGTCAATCACACTATCACAGCACTGGAACCTGAAACAATGGTCTGGACAGGAAGGGGGGGGCAATATGTTGACAAAGAGGTGTAATCCGGGGAACTTTCTAATATTTACATTTTTTTGTCTAGAGGTACCGTTTAACCTCTTATCCATTCGTTCACAGCTGATCCCCAATTCCTGCGCCACGCACGCCCTCCTGAGCGTATTACTGAACTGTAGCGGCGTCCACCTGGGGCCGACTCTGAGCCGCATCAAGGACTTCACCAAAGGCTTCAGCCCGGAGGTAACCATACGGGGAGAGTTTGGAAAGTTTGGCGGCATCTCAGCTAATTGATGAAACAAGGGATCAAACATTGCTGCATCCAGTGCCCCAACAGGGATGAGTCCGGGGGTTGAATCTCCGTGCAGTTGGATGTTAACTCCTGGGATGCTCCACCTCTTTTTTTTGACGCATTGCAGCCAACAACAGCTGTCATGCAGCACCCCCGGAGCTTTAGTGGGGGTTACTAGACTCCAGAATGATGATGGGGGTGCTCCTGGGGACACAGAGGAATGAGGGGAGTATTCCTGGGGATGCAGAAGAATGAAGGGGGTGTTGCTGGTGATACAGAGGAATGACGGGGGTGTTCCTGGGGATGCAGAGGAATGACAGGGGTGTTCCTGGGGATGCAGAGAAATGAAGGGAATGTTCCTGGGGACATGGAGGAATGAAGGGGTTGTTCCTGGAGACATGGAGGAATGGCGGGGGGTGTTCCTGGTGATTCAGAGAAATGACTGGGGTGTTCCTGGGGGCACAGAGGAATGACGGGAGTGTACTTGGGGATGCAGAAGAATGAAGGGGATGTTCCTGGTACCATGCAGAAGAATGAAGGTAGTGTTTCATGGGTATGCAGAGGAATGAAGGGGGTGTTCTTGGGTACGTAGAAGATTGAAGGGGTGTTTCTGGGGATGCAGAGGAATGATTAGGGGTGTTCCTGGGGACTAAGAAGAATGATGGGGGTGTTCCTGGGGACACGGAGGAATGAAGGAAGTGTTCCTGGGGACACGGAGGAATGACAGGGGTGTTCCTGGGGATGCAGAGGAATGAAGGGGTAGTGTTCCTGGGGATGCACGGAGGAATGAAGGAAGTGTTCCTGGGGACCCAGAGAATGACAGGGGTGTTCCTGGGGATGCAGAGGAATGAAGGGGGTGTTCATGGGGCATAGAAGAATGAAGGGGGTGTTCATGGGGACTAGATGAATGAAGGGGGGTTCATGGGGACGTAGAAGAATGAAGGGGGTGTTCATGGGGACACGGAGGAATGAAGGAAGTGTTCCTGGGGACCCAGAGGAATGACAGGGGTGTTCCTGGGGATGCAGAGGAATGAAGGGGGTGTTCATGGGGGCATAGAAGAATGAAGGGGGTGTTCATGGGGACGTAGAAGAATGAAGGGGGTGTTCATGGGGACGTAGAAGAATGAAGGGGGTGTTCCATGGGGACAGAGGAATGATGGTGGAAGGTAAAGAAATGTGTGTAGCTTATGAAAACTGAATCTTTTTTCTCCCCCCCCACAGAGTAAAGGTTATGCCATTGGAAACGCTCCTGAGCTGGCCAAAGCTCACAACAGTCATGCAAGGTGAGTGACCCCATAGGTAATGACACCCTAGGTGCCAGCGTTGTCACAGGAAGTTAGGGCTCTTTTATAGAATCTGCACAGACTCATTGCTAGGACACATAGAACACGACTGATGTCCATGTGCCCTGTGTACGGTGCAGCACTGCCGGGAGGTGCACTGCATACATGCAACTTCATACATTATCCAATACTGTGTTGCAGCAACAGTGCTGAGACGTCCCATTCCGCTGCCGGAACAAAATCAAATCTTGCTGAGCTCTATTCAGCCCTTCACAGGAAGTCTTTTATTTTGTCAGTGAATGTAAGGCTTCCTCTTATTGGCTGAGATGGAGAGGCGGATTTTTGATTTGTCATTGATAAAATTCAAGGCTTCCTTGCACACACTCTTTTTTTTCGGCAGCAGACGGGAAGTCCCTGTATACTGTATATATACTGTATGCAGCTGATGCTTCATACACTTTATACGGTGCTGATGGCAGCTACTTCTGCGGAAATAGTCAAACTATTTAAAGGGATAGCAAAGCTGGAGTTCGGCTTTAATAATGTGTCCTTTTGTGGCACTTCAATAAAGTTAAAAAAAAAAAGGAAACCGCTTTAACAGCATTTAGTTGTGTGGTCTGGTGTGAACAAGCCCTGACTACTGCAGACTTTGGTTGATGGTTTGTTCTCTCCTGCAGGCCGGAGCCGCGTCACCTACCTGAGAAGCAGAATGGGATCAGCGCTGTTCGCACCATGGAGGCATTTCATTTCGTCAGTTATGTTCCCATTAAAGGGAGGCTGTTTGAGCTGGACGGCCTGAAGGTCTACCCCATCGACCACGGGTAATACACTCCGAGCATGCGCAGTTCAGTGGATACTGGGGAGCGGTAAACCCCTGACATTGCTATCACATGGGGGCGCTATTGGTGAGATACCCCAGCTAAGCTCCTGGGCCCTCACACCTGCTGTGCCCATTATGAGGGGTTCTCACCATCCCTGTGCTGAGCTCCCGGGTCTGTACACCCTCTGCCCATTATGAGGGGTTCCCACCATCCCTTGAGTTCCTGGGTCTGTACACTCGCTGTGCCCATTATGAGGGGTTCCCACCATCCCTCTGCTGAGTTCCTGGGGCTATACACTGTTCCTATTACGAAGGGTTCCCACGGGGCCCTATGCAGAGTTCCTGAGTCTGCATGTGTGATTTGGACCAGTATGAGGGACTCGCACCTTCGCTACTGGACGATTTATTTTTTTTTTCATTATGGAGAATGTAACGAGTAGCCGGAGGACATAAATGTAGGCGGGAACACCTCCAGCAAGTTGTGTGGGACAAGACCCGGGAACTATGGCAGGTACACCTGTCTGGTGAGGACCCCAAGAGGTATAAGCAGGTGACTCCTCTCACCAAGGTCCGCTTGTGATTGGACAATGAATACTGTGTACAATGATTGGACAATGAATACTGTGTGTTGGACAATGAATAATGATTGATTGGACAATGAATACTGTGTACAATGATTGGACAATGAATACTGTGTACAATGATTGGACAATGAATACTGTGTACAATGATTGGACAATGAATACTGTGTATATCAGCCAATCAGATCTTTGTATCACGATTCCTCATGTTTGTTTTGTGTATGGTGACCCCTCTTATTATCTCTCTCCAGGCCCCTGGGCGGAGGAAGAGGAGTGGACGGACAAAGCGCGGCGGGTGATAATGGAGCGGATCGGCCTGGCCACAGCGGGGTACGGACCCTGGAGGTCATAGGTCAGCTGCTGGATATCCAACGCGATGTGCGTCGGGCGCAATGATAATTTTTTTTATTCTCGCAGGGAACCGTATCATGACATTCGATTTAACCTGATGGCCGTGGTTCCGGACCGGAGGCTGAAATACGAGAGTCGGCTAAACGTCCTGAAGATGAACAGGCAGACCGTGCTGGAGGCTTTGCAGCAGGTAGTAAACTGAGCAACCTACAGTGCTGAAAATCCCGTCTGAGAACAATGTGTGGCTGTATTGTTAGAGCGTCTGCTCAGGCGGTATATTGGATGGACCATTTCCACAGAGAGCGTTGTCACAAGTATGGCCGTGTGCTGTACTCAGCGTTGTCTGTAAAATTGGTATTTACATCGACCTTTATTATTAACCACTTCAATACTGGACACTTCTACCCCCTTCCTGCCTACAGGACACTTCTACCGCCTTCCTGCCTACCGGGCGCTTCTACCCCCTTCCTGCCTACCGGGCGCTTCTACTCCCTTCCTGCCTACAGGACACTTCTACCCGCCTTCCTGCCTACCGGGCGGGCTTCTACCCCCTTCCTGCCTACCGGGCGCTTCTACTCCCTTCCTGCCCCCTGGACACTTCTACCCCCTTCCTGCCTACAGGACACTTCTACCGCCTTCCTGCCTACCGGGCGCTTCTACCCCCTTCCTGCCTACCGGGCGCTTCTACTCCCTTCCTGCCTACCGGACACTTCTACCCCCTTCCTGCCTACAGGGCACTTCTACCCCCTTCCTGCCTACCGGACACTTCTACCCCCTTCCTGCCTACCGGACGCTTCTACCCCCTTCCTGCCTACCGGGCGCTTCTACTACCCCCTTCCTGCCTACCGGACGCTTCTACCCCCTTCCTGCCTACCGGGCGCTTCTACCCCCTTCCTGCCTACCGGGCGCTTCTACCCCCTTCCTGCCTACCGGGCGCTTCTACCCCCTTCCTGCCTACCGGGCGCTTCTACCCCCTTCCTGCCTACCGGACGCTTCTACCCCCTTCCTGCCTACCGGGCGCTTCTACCCCCTTCCTGCCTACCGGGCGCTTCTACCCCCTTCCTGCCTACCGGGCGCTTCTACCCCCTTCCTGCCTACCGGGCGCTTCTACCCCCTTCCTGCCTACCGGGCGCTTCTACTTCCCCTTCCTGCCTACCGGGCGCTTCTACCCCCTTCCTGCCTACCGGGCGCTTCTACCCCCTTCCTGCCTACCGGGCGCTTCTACCCCCTTCCTGCCCACCGGGCGCTTCTACCCCCTTCCTGCCCTACCGGGCGCACTCTCTACCCCCTTCCTGCCCACCGGGCGCTTCTACCCCCCCCTTCCTGCCCACACCGGGCGCTTCTACCCCCTTCCTGCGGGCCTACCGGGCAACTTCTACCCCCTTCCTGCCTACCGGGCGCTTCTACCCTCTTCCTGCCTACCGGGCGCTTCTGCCCCCTTCCTGCCTACCGGGCGCTTCTGCCCCCTTCCTGCCTACCGGACACTTCTAACCCCCTTCCTGCCCACTGGGCACTTCTACCCCCTTCCTGCCCAGGCCAATTTTTCAGCTTTCAGCACTGTCGCACTTTGAATGACAATTGCGCGGTCATGCAACATTGTACCCATATGACATTTTTATCATTTTTTTTATCCAAAAATAAAAAAAAAAGAAAAGTTTTCCTTTGTTTCTATTATAAAATTTAGCAAACAGGTAATTTTTCTTCTTCACTGATGTGCGTTGATGAGAGGGATGAGGGGGCACTGATGGGCAGCACTGATGGGGGGCACTGCAGGGCACAGGTGGGCTGGCACTGATGGGATGAAAAACACTTTTTCCAAAATTTTTGGACTTTTCCATTCATATAGCAAAAAAAAAAAAAAAATACCAGTGGTGAATAAATACCACCAAAATAAAGTTTTATCTGTCTCAAAAAAATGCTAAAAATGTCATATGGGTACAGTGTTGCATGACTGCGCAATTGTCATTCAAAGTGTGATAGAGCTAAAAAGCTGAAAATTGGCCTGGACTGGAAGGGGGGAAAGTGTCTGGACTGGAAGGGGGTTGAAAGTGTCTGGACTGGAAGGGGGTGAAAGTGTCCGGACTGGAAGGGCGTGAAAGTGTCCGGACTGGAAGGGGGTGAAAGTGTCCGGACTGGAAGGGGGTGAAAGTGTTCGGACTGGAAGGGGGTGAAAGTGTCCGGACTGGAAGGGGGTGAAAGTGTCCGGACTGGAAGGGGGTGAAAGTGTCCGGACTGGAAGGGGGGGAAAGTGTCTGGACTGGAAGGGGGGGAAAGTGTCCGGACTGGAAGGGGGTGAAAGTGTCTGGACTGGAAGGGGGGAAAGTGTCTGGACTGGAAGGGGGTGAAAGTGTCTGGACTGGAAGGGGGGAAAGTGTCGGGACAGGAAGGGGGTGAAAGTGTCCGGACTGGAAGGGGGTGAAAGTGTCCGGACTGGAAGGGGGGGAAAGCGTCTGGACTGGAAGGGGTAAAAAAAAAAAAAGAAAAAGACATTGCGTCAAGACTCTTGGAATTCCTAATCATACTTGCTATCGCTGTGTGCATTTTCTGCCAAATTCAGTAATGTGTGTATGATACTTTTTATATATATAGGATACTTTGTATACATGAGACTTTGTATATTATTATTATTATACAGTATTTATATATGAGACTTTTCAGGTGCATCCATTTCCATTGCAGTTGATCCGGGTGACGCAGCCAGAACTGATTCAGCCCCAGAAGCAGACTGACAATCAGAATAATGAGGACACGAAGCCTAATACAAAGTCTGCCTCTAACCAGGAGACGTCTCGTCAGAATTCTCAGAGTAACGCCTCAGGTATTGGCTGGAATGATATATTGGTCTTCTGATGTGTCGCATACAAGCTTTACCTACCTGTCCGTGTCTCTTCCCTGTAGATGTGAGCAGAGATGCAGCCGGATCCACTCAGAGAGGACCTGTCCCTAATACCTACAGCAAGCTGAATGCCGTTCCTCATAATGGGAATACAACCACCACCCAACCGCCCCGGCTGCCAGCTTTCTTGGACAACCACAACTACGCCAAGTCACCGATGCAGGTCAGTTCTTCTGGATGAAAGGAGATGATCAGAGATTGAGGACACAGTACAGGAGATGATCAGAGATTGAGGACATAGTACAGGAGATGATCAGAGATTGAGGACATAGTACAGGAGATGATCAGAGATTGAGGACACAGTACAGGAGATGATCAGAGATTGAGGACATAGTACAGGAGATGACCAGAGACTGCGGACATAGTACAGGGGATGATCAGAGATTGAGGACATAGTACAGGAGATGACCAGAGATTGCTGACACAGTGCAGGAGATGATCAGAGACTGCGGACACAGTACAGGAGATGATCAGAGATTGAGGACATAGTACAGGAGATGACCAGAGATTGCTGACACAGTGCAGGAGATGACCAGAGACTGCGGACACAGTGCAGGAGATGACCAGAGACTGCGGACACAGTACAGGGGATGACCAGAGACTGCGGACACAGTACAGGAGATGACCAGAGACTGCGGACACAGTACAGGAGATGACCAGAGACTGCGGACACAGTACAGGAGATGACCAGAGACTGCGGACACAGTACAGGAGATGACCAGAGACTGCGGACACAGTACAGGAGATGACCAGAGACTGCGGACACAGTACAGGAGATGACCAGAGACTGCGGACACAGTACAGGAGATGACCAGAGACTGCGGACACAGTACAGGAGATGACCAGAGACTGCGGACACAGTACAGGAGATGACCAGAGACTGCGGACACAGTACAGGAGATGACCAGAGACTGCGGACAGTACAGGAGATGACCAGAGACTGCAGACATAGTACAGGAGATGACCAGAGACTGCGGACATAGTACAGGAGATGACCAGAGACTGCGGACACAGTACAGGGGATGACCAGAGACTGCGGACACAGTGCAGGAGATGACCAGAGACTGCGGACACAGTACAGGAGATGACCAGAGACTGCGGACACAGTACAGGAGATGACCAGAGACTGCAGACATAGTACAGATGATGACCAGAGACTGCGGACACAGTACAGGAGATGACCAGAGACTGCGGACACAGTACAGGAGATGACCAGAGACTGCGGACATAGTACAGCAGATGACCAGAGACTGCGGACACAGTACAGGAGATGACCAGAGACTGCGGACACAGTACAGGAGATGACCAGAGACTGCGGACACAGTACAGGAGATGACCAGAGACTGCGGACATAGTACAGCAGATGACCAGAGACTGCGGACAGTACAGGAGATGACCAGAGACTGCGGACATAGTACAGGAGATGGTCAGAGACTGCAGACATAGTACAGATGATGACCAGAGACTGCGGACATAGTACAGGAGATGACCAGAGACTGCGGACACAGTACAGGAGATGACCAGAGACTGCGGACATAGTACAGGAGATGACCAGAGACTGCGGACATAGTACAGGAGATGGTCAGAGACTGCAGACATAGTACAGATGATGACCAGAGACTGCGGACACAGTACAGGAGATGACCAGAGACTGCGGACACAGTACAGGAGATGACCAGAGACTGCGGACATAGTACAGGAGATGACCAGAGACTGCGGACATAGTACAGGAGATGACCAGAGACTGCGGACAGTACAGGAGATGACCAGAGACTGCGGACATAGTACAGGAGATGACCAGAGACTGCGGACACAGTACAGAGAGACAGTCAGAGACTGCAGACATAGTACAGGAGATGACCGGAGACTGCGGACATAGTACAGGGGATGACCAGAGACTACAGACGAGGGAGAAGGAGTAAGGGTGTGCAGGAGGAGGAGGAGTAGGGAGTGGATGTTACAGAGTGGTGAGATGAAAGAGCTGGATGGGGAAACCGGTCACCTGATTAGTATTTGAAGTTGTCTGCTGGGGTTTCTCACTTTCGATGAAGTGCAATACTTAGTCCAAGATCAATACTTTATCCATGATGATAATGCCACACCTGGCTGTGCCTCCCCTACGGAAGGCCTACATTTATACTGAGTTGAGTTGCCCCACCTAATTAATCAATTAGGAATGCAGACTAGCAGAGCAAATGTCTCATTCCAGAAGAGGACTACAAGAGACCACAAGAGAGCAGGAGGGCAGAGTTGTAAAGATTAGGATCAGCTCATAAATTTGGGTTCGACAATAATAGGACAATAAACACCGCAGTAATATGGACAGAGTTAAAGATGTTGGAAGCAGTAAGAATGACCAATCAGAACATTGATAGTTATGAATCCGCTTCAGTTAGAGGTGGATTTTAAAAGCCGTATAGATGACCATATAGCAGAGCATTCATACATGGCATGGGCGATAGTACCAAGGTGGATAAAATGATGATTAAAAAAAAAAAATATATATATATATATATATATATATATATATATATATATATATATATATAAATCAGATTTTTAAAAATTTAAATCAGATTTTTTTTTATTTTTTTTACAAGATTTATTGATGATTTAAAAAAAAATATATATAAAAAAATAGATTTTTAAAAATTTAAGTCAGATTTTTTTTTTCATTTTTATCAAATTTGTTTTAATAAAATACTTTTGGAGTAAAAATCTATCTAAAGATAGTTTTCTATTTAAAGCGGAGCTCCACCCAAAAGGGGAAGTTCCGCTTTAAGTCTTTGTCCCCCGCTCCCCATTAAGGATTGGCACCTTTGGGAAGTGGAGGGGGTACCTGAATTTGACAGGTACCCACTCCCACTGCCTAGGCCAGGGGTCTGCAACCTTTAAGACATAAAGAGCCACTTGGACCCGTTTCCGAGAGGGAAAAAAAGACTGGGAGCCGCAAAACCATTGCAACATTTTTTAAAACAAATCCGACACTGCATATATTGCAAAAAGCGCTCTGGTCATGAAGGGGTTTAAGGGCCCAGTAAGCAAAGGGTTAATCAGGGCCACAGTGTATCATCATAATCACAATCATAGCCTTAGGTCAGTGGTGGGCAACCTTTTTTTTTCAACTGAGCCAAATCTCGCCAAAACCACGATTAAAATTTATTTTGAGAGCCACATTTTAAAACTGAAAATACATCCCCCATATAGTAATTCATCCCCCATAGTAATTCATCCCCCCTATAGTAATTCATCCCCCATAGTAATTCACCCCATATAGTAATTCATCCCCCATATAGTAATTCATCCCCCATATAGTAATTCATCCCCCATATAGTAATTCATCCCCCCCCTATAGTAATTCATCCCCCATATAGTAATTCATCCCCCATATAGTAATTCATCCCCCATATAGTAATTCATCCCCCCTATAGTAATTCATCCCCCCTATAGTAATTCATCCCCCCTATAGTAATTCATCCCCCATATAGTAATTCATCCCCCATATAGTAATTCATCCCCCATAGTAATTCACCCCATATAGTAATTCATCCCCCATATAGTAATTCATCCCCCCTATAGTAATTCATCCCCCATATAGTAATTCATCCCCCCTATAGTAATTCATCCCCATAGTAATTCATCCCCCATAGTAATTCATCCCCCATATAGTAATTCATCCCCCATATAGTAATTTCATCATCCCCCATAGTAATTCATCCCCCATATAGTAATTCATCCCCCATAGTAATTCATCCCCCATATAGTAATTCATCCCCCATAGTAATTCATCCCCCATATAGTAATTCATCCCCCATAGTAATTCATCCCCCATATAGTAATTCATCCCCCATAGTAATTCATCCCCCATATAGTAATTCATCCCCCATATAGTAATTCATCCCCCCTATAGTAATTCATCCCTCATATAGTAATTCATCCCCCATATAGTAATTCATAATAACCCCCCCATATAGTAATTCATCCCCCATATAGTAATTCATCCCCCATATAGTAATTCATCCCCCCTATAGTAATTCATCCCCCATATTGTGTCAATTCACTTACCTGTACTCCGCGCGTTCCTCTCGCCGTGTTCCCAGCGCAGTTCTGGTCTTCAGGGCGGACTGTGAGAGGAGAGGAGTTCGTCACGCTGCCCCGCCTACATCCTGACAGCCAATGTTTGCCACGCTCCGCGGGCCGGATTATAAGGTCCGCCGGGCCGTAGTTTGCCCATTGCTGGGCTAGCTGCAGAGTCCTGACTTTTGGGGCGGCCGCCCGAGAGGAGGGAGGGGAGCGGGCGCCCGGCACACAGAAGAGCTGCATTAACCTCCCTGGCGGTATGATTCCTTCCGATTTTTTGTGCTGAAAGCGGTACCATTTTTTCGCATGGAAATAGTTTTTTATTGTAGGCTGTAATTTTTAGGAAAATTTCCCCACAAATCATTATCACTCAATTCTGCAAGTGGTTCTGATTTACTATCGCTGTTCTCTAGCCGGTCTAAAACCGCTTTTGACCTAAAGGGACGCTTTTTGGACGCCATGGACTTTTTCTAAGTTTCCAGGCAGAAAGAACAGACAAAATGCAGGCAGGGACAGGACAAAGCACTCGGGACAATATGTATGTGAAATGGGATGAAACAGCAATGTTTTACTATTGAAAATTGAAAAAAAAAAAAAAAGACATTTTTTAAATTTTTTAAATTTCCCCCGCCGCCGGCGGCGCCCGTACGTCCCGACGTCACGGGGACCGGAACACAGAAGCCGGATGCCGGCATCGGCCGGAGGAGATGGCCGGGGACGCTGCAGGGGACACATCGCGGGAACGAAGGACAAGGTAAGTGCTGCAGGGACCCCCAGAGCAGCGCCGCATGGTAAGCCCGAGTGTAGCTCGTGGTATAGAAATTCTACCACGAGCTACACTCGGGAAAACCGCCAGGGAGGTTTAAAAGAGCCGCGGCTTGCCGACCACTGAGCTACGGCAACCCTATTGCCTGTCACCTGGTGGGCAGTGTGCTCCGGAGCCGCAGCAAAGGGTGAAAAAGAGCCGCATGCGGCTCTGGAGCCGCGGGTTGCCGACACCCGGCCTAGGCGATCGGAAGCAGAAGTTGTCCTCCCCCCTCTCTCCCTGTAGTCTTGTGGGACACGTGACAGGTCCCAGAAGACTACGGGGCCATTCACAAAGCGCAGAGCTTCTCGCACATGCCCAGTGGGCACCCGGCTGTGAAGCCGCAAGCTGTCACAGCCGGGTGCCCATACTGAAGATGCCGTTTAAGTCGTTGGTATGTACTAGTGATGCACCGCAATGAAAATTCTGGTGCCGAAAGCGAAAATTCAAAATGCACTTGGCCGAAAACTGAAACGCTCGTTTTTTTCTATTTTATTTTTTAATATTTATTTATTTAGCTTTTTTTTTTTCTTTTTTTTTTACAAACATTTTTTTTCCCTCTATGCCAGGAGTTGGAGGTACAATGTATCTCTCTCCTTTTGTAGAGCAAGAAAAAAAACAAGGGGGCGGACTGTACAGTGACTGACTACTGTGATAGCCAATCAGAGGCTATCACAGCGATCATGTGACCCGGAATCGGGAGTCCGGGTCCCGATTGTTAGAACGGGACCCAGTGATCTCAGTGACACTGCAGTCTTCTTGCTGGGAGCGCACCGTGCGATGCGCTCCCAGCAGACAGACAGGTACGCAAATATACGGCCGCATGGAAAAAAGCCCCGTTCTGTGAGGCCGCATGTTGGTGTGACGTCGGGGTCAAGGGGTTAATATACTACAGGGGTTTCCGCTTTCTTGCTTTACTGCTAAGTATCCAAACGGTTACAACAAAACAATATTACACGTGATAATTATCCAAAAAGCAGAGAAATACTATTTATAAGGAAATCGTTTGCTTGGCCCCAACAGACTACTTGAAGTGAAATAAAACCTGGAGATCGGCATTTGTCACTCTTGGAGGATAAATAATATAAGTTTCCTGAAAGAAAATCCCAGCTGCATGTATTGGCGGCCGGTGACATCGACTTTTTGTTTCCAACATGATGCAGAAAGCCCAGCGATGTTCTCCTTCCAGCCATAGCTCCTTCCTAGACCGGAGGCCTTATTCACAAAGCTTGGATGTGACAGTAATGATCTTTATTCCACATTTGTGCTGTTATTCCCGTTTATTACATTTATACGAACATTTTCTCAGGAGGAAGAAGATTTGGCTGCGGGTGTCGGCCGATCTCGGGGACTCCCACTCTCCCTCTCCGGACTCCGATGAAGATGAAGAAGAGGAGGCAGAGACCTCCGCAAGACCGACAGCTCTTCCTCGGTGAGTGCGCGGCCTCCATACTCTTCTGTCATTGAGGATTGTACCTTTAAGTGGTTGTAAACCTTCACATACAGTTCAGTCCATATATATATATATATACACACATATACACAGTTGGGTCCATAGATAGATACAGTCCGGTCCATAGAGAGATTATATATATATATATATATATATATATATATATATATATATATATATATATATATATATATAGTTCAGTCCATAGATAGAGCCATATATATGGTTTGGTCCATAGATATATATACAGTTCAGTCCATAGATAGATACAGTCCGGTCCATAGATAGATAGATAGATATATATATATATATCTATACAGTTTGGTCCATAGACAGATACAGTCCAGTCCATAGATAGATAGATAGAGCTATATATATGGTTTGGGCCATAGATATATATACAGTTGGGTCCATAGATAGATATATATATATACAGTCCGGTCCATAGATATATATATAGTTGGGTCCATATATATATACATACAGTTGGGTCCATAGATAGATATATATATATATATATACAGTCCGGTCCATAGATATATATACAGTTGGGTCCATAGATAGATATATATATATTATACAGTCCCGGTCCATAGATATTTGGACACAGGTACAATTTTCAGTCTTTTGGCTCTGTATGCCACCAGAATAAATTAAAAGAAAACAATCCAAATGGATATGGAGTGCAGACTTTCAGCTTTAATTCAAGGGGTTAAACATAAATACCAAGTACAAATTTTAGGAACTGCAACCATTTTTATACACGGTCCCTCCATTTTCAGGGGCTCAAAAGTCATTGGACAATTGAATATAATCATAAATGTTCATTTGTAATATTTTGTTGAGAATCCTTTACTGGCAATGACTGCCTGAAGTCTGGAACCCACGGACATGACCAAAGACTGGGTTTCCTCCTTTCTGATGCTTTGCCAGGCTCTACCTGCAACTGTCTTCAGTTGTTCTTTGAGGGACTTTCTGCCTTTAGTTTTGCCTTCAGCAAGTGAAATGCATGCTCAATGGGGTTGAGATCAGGGTATTGACTCGGCCATTGCAGAATATTCCACTTTTTTTTCCTTCTAAAGCTCCTGGGTTGCTTTTGCAGTGTGTTTTGGATCATTGTCCATCTGTACTGTGAAGCGCCGTCCAATCACCTTTGCTGCATTTGGCTGAATCTGGGCTGACAATTCATCCGGCTGCTTCTGTCTTCTGTCACATCATCAATAACCACCAATGATGCAGTGCCACTGGAAGCCATGCATGCCCATGCCATCACCCGGCCTCCGCCCATGTCATCACCCTGCCTCCGCCCATGTCATCACCCTGCCTCCGCCCATGCCATCACACGGCCTCCGCCCATGCCATCACACGGCCTCCGACCGTGCCATCACACTGCCTCCGCCCGTGTCATCACCCTGCCTCCGCCCGTGCCATCACCCTGCCTCCGCCCGTGCCATCACCCTGCCTCCTCCCGTGCCATCACCCGGCCTCCGCCCGTGCCATCACACTGCTTCTGCCCGTGCCATCACACTGCTTCTGCTCCACCCAATGCCCTCACTGCCCCGTGCCATCACACGGCCTCCGCCATGTTGTACAGATGACGTTGTGTGCTTTGGATCATGAGCTGGTCCAAGCCTTCTCCCACACTTTGTTCTTCCCGTCATTCTGGTAGATTCATCCTTAGTGTCATCCGTCCAAAGAATGATTTGCCAGATCCGTCCGGATTTTTTAGATGTTTTTTAGCAATTTCTAATCTGGCTTTTCTATTCTTCAGGCTTAGGAATGGTTTGCACCTTGTGGTGACCCCTCTGTATTTGCACCTTGTGGTGACCCCTCTGTATTTGCACCTTGTGGTGACCCCTCTGTATTTGCACCTTGTGGTGAACCCTCTGTATTTGCACCTTGTGGTGACCCCTCTGTATTTGCACCTTGTGGTGAACCCTCTGTATTTGCACCTTGTGGTGACCCCCCTGTATTTGCACCTTGTGGTGACCCCTCTGTATTTGCACCTTGTGGTGAACCCTCTGTATTTGCACCTTGTGGTGACCCCCCTGTATTTGCACCTTGTGGTGAACCCTCTGTATTTGCACCTTGTGGTGACCCCTCTGTATTTGCACCTTGTGGTGACCCCTCTGTATTTGCACCTTGTGGTGACCCTCTGTATTTGCACCTTGTGGTGACCCCCCTGTATTTGCACCTTGTGGTGACCCCCCTGTATTTGCACCTTGTGGTGACCCCCTGTATTTGCACCTTGTGGTGACCCCCCTGTATTTGCACCTAGTGGTGACCCCTCTGTATTTGCACCTTGTGGTGACCCCCCTGTATTTGCACCTTGTGGTGACCCCCCTGTATTTGCACCTAGTGGTGACCCCCCCTCTGTATTTGCACCTTGTGGTGACCCCCTGTATTTGCACCTTGTGGTGACCCCCCTGTATTTGCACCTAGTGGTGACCCCTCTGTATTTGCACCTTGTGGTGACACCTCTGTATTTGCACCTTGTGGTGACCCCTCTGTATTTGCACCTTGTGGTGACCCCCCTGTATTTGCACCTTGTGGTGACCCCCCCCCTGTATTTGCACCTTGTGGTGAACCCTCTGTATTTGCACCTAGTGGTGTGACCCCTCTGTATTTGCACCTAGTGGTGACCCCTCTGTATTTTTGCACCTTGTGGTGACCCCTCTGTATTTGCACCTTGTGGTGAACCCTCTGTATTTGCACCTTGTGGTGACCCCTCTGTATTTGCACCTTGTGGTGACCCCCCTGTATTTGCACCTTGTGGTGACCCCCCTGTATTTGCACCTTGTGGTGAACCCTCTGTATTTGCTCTCGTGAAGTCTCCTCTTGATTGTAGACTGACAACAATCCGCCCCCCTCCTGGAGAGTGTCCTTCACTTGTCTGGATGATGAGAATGGGTTTTCCTTTCTCATAGAGAGGATCCTGCGATCACCCACCACTGTTGTCCTCCATGGACGTCCTTTCTATGTTGCTGAGCTCACCAGTGCGTTCTTCTTTCCTCAGAATGGACCAAACTGTTGATTTGGCTCCTAACGTTGCGATCTCTCTCATGGATTTTAGTTTTTGAAGCCTTACAATGGCCGGTGTCACTTCCATGGACGGCTCCTTTGAATGCATGATGTGGGGTCACAGCAATAGATTCCAAATGCAAATCTCCCACTTAGAATCAACTCCAGACCTTTTACCTGCTTAATTGATGAAGAAATAATCAAGTAGCCCACACCTGGCCAGGAAACAGCTTTTGATTCAGTTGTCCATTACTTGTGATGCCTTGAAAAAGGGGGGGTGGCTACTCTTAAGAGCTGTAATTCCTAAACCCCTCCTCCAATCTGGATGTACATACCCTCAAATTACACCCGAGAGTGCGCACTGTCCGCCCAGATCCATCATAGGACTACAGCTGGGATAGGTTCTGGTAAATGCCTGAAAAAAACTAAAATTGTGCTGCCTGCGTCCAAATATATATGGGCCTACCTGTATATACTGGGGGGGGGGGGAATATGGGGGGGTGTATATATACGGACCTAACTGTATATACTGGGGGGGGAATATGGGGGTGTATATATATGGACCTAACTGTATATACTGGGGGGGGGGGGAATATGGGGGTGTATCTATACGGACCTAACTGTATATACTGGGGGGGGGGGGGAATATGGGGGTGTATATATATGGACCTAACTGTATAACTGTATATACTGGGGGGGGGGAATATGGGGGTGTATATATACGGACCTAACTGTATATACTGGGGGGGGGGGGATGGGGGGGGGGGGAATATGGGGGTGTATATATACGGACCTAACTGTATATATATACTGGGGGGGGGGAATATGGGGGGGGTGTAATATGTGTATATATATATATACGGACCGAACTGTATTTCCAGTGCAGTGACTATCCTCATGTGATACACAGAGAGAAAACAAATCCTCCTACACAAGTTGTACCTGTTTATCAGCAACCCTCTCTCTCCTCTACAGCCATTCAAATCCCACAACTTTTCTGAGCTGCAGGGGGCAGGGATCTGATGTCACACACACTGCACAGTATGGGGCAGGGATCTGATGTCACCCACTGCACAGTATAGAGCAGGGAGCTGAGTGTAATCTGAGACCTGAGTGGAGGTAATGGACACACCCCCTCTACACTGTCTCATAGGGAAGCATGCACGGCTGAGGCTGTCAACCACCTGCTGTGTGCTGGAGGGGCAGCCAGAAATCACTCTAGGTGCTTTGGATTGAGGCAAGTACACAATACAGAAGGATGTGCTTTGTTCATTTTTCAAGGTTTACAGCCACTTTAATGTTTAATGTCTCCTGCAGGTTCAAGAGGAGAAGTTCGGAGTCTCTACCCCCCACCTCCCGGGGCCGGAGCTGCCTGCCAACATTCTGGTAGAAAAGTTAAAGGAAACTCAGCGAGAATTGTGCTCCCCGCTCTCTATAAAGACAGGAGCCCCCACGGCCCCCCATTCCCAGCCGTCTCCTACCCCCAGCAACGAGAGCACAGACACCGCCTCAGAGATAGGGAGCGCCTTCAAACTCCCCGCTGCGGTCTCCTCTGAGGTCCGCCAACACCACCAGACCCTCCAGCCCCCTGTCACCTCGCACCTCTCCAAGGTGCTGTTCGGGGAGGAGGAGCCTCTCTCGCGGTTGGATAGCGTACGGTATAAACCGAGCGGTGCGGGAACTCGGGCCCCTGGTTGGCACTGGAATCCTGCACCTCACCCGGGACGGGCAGCTCTACACACTGAGCCGGAATGGTAAGGGGGAGGGGAAAGACTCTGTATACAGTGTGTGAGGAGCAATGTGCGGGAGATTGTTCATCCTTTCTCTTTATGTTACTAGATTCTGGAAAAGTTTCCCCAAAAATCAAAATGGAGGATGGCAGCGAGAATCCCGACACCCCGAAGGGAGAGAGATTCTCACCTAAGGTAAGGATCAGCATTCCCTCAAATGTCTGATATACAGAGCAGGTCACATCCTTTATACAAAGATCTCCTCTCCTCTTCTCACCACTTCTTACCTGTCCATCTGTCACCAGCTCTGGGTCATCTCCTCTGCCCATCGTCCCCTCCACACTCATACTCCACAAATCATCTCTCTGCCCTCTCCCCTCCCGCTCATTCTCACATCACTCCTTACCTGTCCATCTGTCCAAACCACCGCTCTCCCCTCAATCCTCCACACTCATCTCCCTCTCATCCCTCGTCCACACCTCTCTTCCTCAACCCTCAAACACCCCCCTCATCCCTCCACACTCATCTCCTCTCCCCTCACTTTTCCGTTCCAAACTCATCTCCTCTCCCCTTCCCCATCACTTATCTCATCCTCCTCATCCTCATCCAACTCACTCATCTCCTCTCCCCTCATCCCCTAAACGCTCATCTCCTCTCCCCTCATCCATTCCACACTCATCCCTCATCTCCTCTTCCCTCAACCCCTCCACGCTCATCTCCTCTCCCCTCATCCCCTCCACGCTCATCTCCTCTCCCCTCATCCCCTCCACGCTCATCTCCTCTCCCCTCATCCCCTCTCCTCTCCCCTCATCCCCTCCACGTTCATCTCTCTCCCCTCTTCCCCTCCACGTTCATCTCTTCTCCCCTCATCCCGTTCATGTCCTCCTCTCCCCTCATCCCCTCCACGTTTCATCTCCTCTCCCCTCGTTCTCCTCTCCCTCATCCCCCTCCACATTCATCTCTCTCTCCTCATCTTCTCTCCCCTCATCCCCTCCACATTCGTCTCTCCCCTCTCCCCTCATCCCCATCCCCCCACATTCATCTCCTCTTCCCCCTCATCCCCTCACCCTTCATCTCCTCTCCTGTCATGTCCTCTCCACTCACCTCCTTTCAAATCATCAACTTTCTTCTCATCCCTCTCTGCACATTCACTTTTAAGTCATCTGTTCACCTCTCATCCTCTCTGCGTTCATCTCCTTTTCCCACTTCCCTCCTCCCCTCCCTCTCCCTCCCCTCCCCCTCCCCTCCCTCCTTCCCCTCCTCTACCCCTCTCCCCTCCCCTCCCCTCCTCTCCCCTCCCCCCCCACCCCCCTCCCCTCCCCTCCCCTCCCCCTCCTCTCCTCTCCCCTCCCCTCCTCTCCCCTCCTCTCCTATCTCCTTTCCCCTCCTCTCCCCTCCTCTCATCTCCTTTCCCCTCCTCTCCCCTCCTCTCATCTCCTTTCTCCCTCCTCTCCTCTCATCTCCTTTCCCCTCCTCTCCTCTCCCCTTTCCCCTCCTCTCATCTCCTTTCCCCTCCCCTCCTCTCCTTTCCCCTCCTCTCCTCTCCCCTCCCCTCCTCTCCTCTCCTTTCCCCTCCTCTCCTCTCCCCTCCTCCTCTCCCCTCCTCTCCTCTCCTCCCTCCCTCCTCTCCCCTCCTCCTCTCCTCTCCCTCCTCTCCTCTCCTCTCCCCTCATCTCACCCCATCCCCTTTCGAAGCATCAGGTGTCCACTCATCCCCCCAACACAGATATCCTCTTTGTTCATCCCCTTTCAAATCATCTCCTCGCCTCTCTTATCCCCGTATGCTCCTCTCCTCTCCCCTCATGTACATTGGGTCAGGGATGTGCTCATTGTTTTGGGTCTTTTAGATAACTCTTCTCTCTTTTTTCTTTGCAGGAGCTCCTGGCTTTGTTGAAATGCGTAGAAGCCGAAATAGCCACATCGGAGGCCTCGCTGAGGGAGGAGCTGGAGAAACGCAAAAAATTCAAGGTAGGGATTCAGTGTGATCCGCACACAGCCTGTAGTGCCGCTCCGAACCGGAAAAATAAAACTTTCACAGTGCAGGGAGCAGGCACCTCTCCACCATTCATCGGGGTGAACACAAAATGCCGAAAATGAGAAGAGGTGCAGCTCACCAACCCGGCGCTTCAGCAGTAGATGGATGTGGTCTCAGCCAACTCCACTCTAGCCACGCCCGCTGACGTGTTTCACCCCGCCCACCCGGGGTTGGTCACAGCACCTCTGGGCATGGCTGGTGTGGTTTTTTGCCAAGGCCACCTCCATCTACCGCTGAAGCACCGGGCCGGCGAGCTGCGCCCCTTCTTGTTTCTGGGACAGGGAGCTCTGTGTCCTCTGTGTGGCGTCTCTGGACTGGGATGTGATCTGACCTTCTCGTTTCTCTTCAGATCGATGATCAGAGAAGGACCCACAACTACGATGAGTTCATCTGCGCCTTCATCTCCATGCTGGCCCAGGAAGGTGAGTTCAGGCCTCGCTGTCTAAGGTTCACTAAACCTGGAGAGTCCAGAATGTGGTGCAGCTCTGCATAGGAACCAATCAGCTTCCAGGTTTGATTGTCAAAGCTTCATTGATCCAGCTGAACCCCCCCATTCACATCGGTGCGATGCCCTGCGACTTGCAAATCACATGCCAAGTCGCTCCCTATTGTCCACAATTGGAGCGATCCTATCGGCGCGGTTCCGACTTTTAGGGTCGTGCCAATTTCAAAAGTTGTACATGCGCTACTTTTGGTGCGATTTGCATAGACATCTGTGTTGGATGTCTTGCAACTCGCACCTGAAATCGGCGGGTTCCCCGACTTTGAAATAGTGCGACTTACATTGAAATTGCACGATTTCAAAGTCAGGCTTGATGTGAACGGGGGGGGGGGGGGGGGGGTGAGAAGCTGATTGGCTCCCATGCACCGCTGCTCAAGATTTTGCACTCTCCAGTTTTAGTAAATCAACCCCTTTGTTTCTTTAACCCCTCGCCCTCCAGAATATTTCCCCCCTTCCTGAGCAGGCCATTTTTTGCGTTTATGGCGCTGCGTTATTTTAACTGACAATTGCGCGGTCATGCAATGCTGCACCCAAATGAAATGTACGTCCTTTTTTTTCCCCACGAATTGAGCTTTCTTTCGGTGGTATTCGATCGGCTGTGCGTTTTTTTATTTTTTGCGCTATAAAAAAAAAAGACTGACAAATTTGAGAAAAAAAAAATATTTTTGACTTTTTGCTATGAAACATGTCCAGTAAAAAAATGTTTAAAAATCAAATTTCTTCAAAAATTTCGGCCAAAATGTATTCTGCTCCGTGTCTTCGCTAAAAATCCCGATACGTGGAAATTAATTGGTTTACGTGAAAGTTATTGCGTCTACAAATGGCGGTATAGATATACTGGGATTTTTTTTAGTAATGGAGGCGATCAGCGACTTACAGCGGGACTGCTGCGGAGTGTGAACGTGAGGCGCACATGCGATTGCACCTCTTTTGTCTCCCCTTCTGCCTCTCACCTTGCACGCACCCATTTCAGGGTTCACAGATGGGATGGGGATCCCCCCTTTTGCATATAAAGGAGTTCACCTGAAAAATCGACCTCATTAACCCTCTCCATTCTGTCCCTTCAGGCATGCTGGCGAGTCTGGTGGAGCAGAACATTTCGGTCAGGAGGCGGCAGGGGGTCAGCATCGGCCGGCTGCACAAACAGAGGAAGCCTGACCGCCGCAAACGCTCACGCCCATACAAAGCCAAACGCCAGTAGCCCCCCCAAACCCCTTTTTAGAGGTACCACCCAGACAGACTGTCCTGACACTCCTGTATATGATGTATATAAACCGTTTTTTATAATTCCCCATGTATACTCACCCCCCCAATAGGTAATGTATGACACATGTCCAATGCTCTTTTCATACCCGCATCATGTGATCTGCCTACACCAGGGGTGTTCAACCTGTGGCCCTCTGATGTGGCCCTCGATCTCAAACCAGGGAAGCAAACTTCTATTACATCCTGCGGGTTTGGTGCCCTTTCTTAAAATGCGTTTTCGTGCACCAAATCCTCAAGATGTCATAGAAGTCTCTGGCAAAGCGCAGCTCGGAAATCCACAGGCGCACTGCATTGTAAAAACCGCAGCTCATCCGCATGGAGGATACCTTATAGGGGGCTCAGGACAGTAAGGGCTCGTTTACATTTGCGGTGGGGGGGGGGGGGGGGGGGGGGGTAGCTGAGACATGTTTTTTCCACACACACCCCAACCACTGTTGTAGCACCAGGGTTCACAATGGTGACTCCACCCCTTCTCCAGGGGGCCCATGCGGCCTCCCTGTCACATTCTATTTTACACTTGGAGAGGATCAGTTCCTGTATATGCAGCCCCCACTGTCCATTTTCCTCCTCCAACCCCTAAAAGCCGGCTTCTCCTCTTCCTCCTGCCGGAGGAAAATGTTCATCATGCTATTCAAAATAAAAAAAAAAATTAGAAATTCAGATCCATGTCATTGCGGCCTGCAACTGGTTACCAAATCACTCTTCAAAAGGTTGAGCACCCCTGGCCTACACCTTACCCCCCCCCTGTAGTCACCTAATATTCCTTTGTCGGGGATTTTCCAGGCTGGGATCCCTCCGGTTGTCAGAAGACGGTTCCTTCTTGTCACTAGCACCATATTACAATCACTGTTGTCACGCAGCGGGCAGGACCCACCTTACAGACTGTACAATGACCCCACTGGCTGGATCCATAATGTCCTCATTATCATGTCACAATTCTTCTGCAGTGCTTCTTGTGGAATAATAAATGTTATGGAATTTATCAGAAAGTGATGATGTTTTCTTGGATGATCCACGGCGTGTTTGAAATAGATCGCGTGATACACAGAGATTCGCCGGGTCGCATAGGCTTCCATGTTAGAAATCAGAAAATCGCGGCTTGTTGTGATGTGTCAGGTGATGCTGAATATTTCTGATGCTGCAGCTCTTCAGGGTTTGTATGACCTGAGAGAAGTGTGACATCATTCAGGACGTGAGTGGTTGTAGTCCATAGAAAGCTTTAGATCAGTGGTCTCCAAGGTGCGGCCCAGGGGCCGGATGCGGCCCTTTGCTTGCCTTTATCTGGCCCTTGGGGGCACTATTTTATTCTCCAATAATGGGGCACAGTTCCTGCCAATGACACTACAATGGGGCCCAATGACACTAATGATGGGGTACAATTCCTACCAATGACGCAATGATGGGGCACACTTCCTCCCTGATACCAATGATGGGGCACACTTTCTACCAGTATGATACCAGTGATGGGGCACACTTCCTCCCAGTGATGGGGCACACTTCCTACCAGTGATGGGGCACACTTCCTCCCAATGATACCAGTGATGGGGCATACTTCCACTAATGATGGGGCACACTTCCTCCCAATGATACCAGTGATGGGGCACACTTCCTACCAGTGATGGGGCACACTTCCTACCAGTGATGGGGCACACTTCCTCCCAGTGATGGGGATACCAGTGATGGGGCACACTTCCTACCAATGATACCAGTGATGGGGCACACTTCCTCCCCAGTGATGGGGCACACTTCCAACAGTGATGGGGCACACCCAATGATCTTATGATGGGGGCTACAATGATACCAATGGGGCACACCTACCAGTGATGGGGAACACTCTTCCTACCAGATGATGGGGCACACTTCCTACCAGTGATGGGGCACACTTCCTCCCACTGATACCAGTGATGGGGCACACTTCCTCCCAGTGATACCAATGATGGGGCACACAATGATCCTCCCCATGACACCAACAATGGGAACCAATGACTCTTATGATGGGGCACATTTCTCCCTCACCCATGATGACAACCAACAATGGGATCCCCCATGATGACTCCCTACCGATGATGGGGCACTATCCCTACCCAATGGGGCACATACCGAACGATGGGGCACTCAATTGGGGCCTATCCCCAATGGGGCACATCCCACCAATGATGGGGCAATCCCTACTGGGGCACTATTCCTCCCAATACATCAATGATGGGGCACTATTCCTCCCAATGACATCAATAATGGGGCACAATTTCTCCCAGTCACCAGTGATGGGACCCTATTCCTACCAATGAGACCGATGATGGGGCACTATTCCTACCAATAATGGGGGTACTATTCCTAACAATGACAACAATAGTGGGGCCCAATGACACCCAACGATGGGGCACAATTCCTCCAATGACACCAAGGATGGGGCACTGTTTGCTCCAACTAATACTTGATATATTTTCTACTCCCGGTGGCCACATTGCAGCCCCTCTAAAGTCTGAAGGACAGTAAAGTGGCCCTTTGTTTAAATTGTTTGGAGACCCCTTCTTTACATGGTATGATGTACATAGAACTAAACAGCAGGAAATCAAGTGACACTCTCTTTATAGCTTTGAAGTAAAGAGCTGGCTGCAGAAATCTAGAGTTCCACTGACAGGCTGCACCTGGTAAATATGTAATAATCAGATATAAGGTCTGTTGCACACGGCAGTGAATACAAATGATGAGTTTTTTACTGATCTGAAATGAAATGCATTGTTGTCTATGGACAGGGCTGATGTTAGAAGCCATGGGGCCCCATACAGCCAACCTGACAGGGCCCCCAAAGAAAAAAAGTTTACTGTGTTTCAGTTATGAATGAACAAAGTGAGGGATCGCTACCAATCATTCACTGTGTTCATTCAGGAAAGAAAGGGGCTGGCAAATGTGACATTTACTGGACCATTTTCCCACTCCCCATCCTGAAGGATCCTATTGTGCGCTTGCAACTGTCGGTGGGAAGGAGAGGAGGGAAGCCGGCAGCACTGCACAGAGAAGGGTGATGGGTGTGGTGGTGGGGGGGGGAATTACTGGAAACAATCCCTTTCTCTGCACCAGCTGAAAGCCATTCAGGGGATCGGTTTCCAGTAATTGTTTTTATATATTACCTTTTGTACCACCAGCCCCTCCCTCTTAGATTGTAAGCTCCCAGGATCAGGCCCTCCTATCCCTCTTGTATTGAACTGTATCATTGCTGTATTGTCTCCCGTTATATTGTAGAGCGCTGAGCAAACTGTTGGCGCTCTGGAGAAGGGCAGAATCAGCCAACCTGCTACACTGGAGGAGGACAGAGTCAGCCAATAATGGCACTGGAGAAAGGCAAGTCCTGCCAATTACTGCAGTAGAGGAGGGCAGAGTCTGCCAATTACTGCACTAGAGGGCAGAGTCTGCCAATCATTGCACTGGAGAAGGGTGAAGTCAGCCAACTGCTGCACTGGAGGATGGAGTCTGCCAATCATTGCACTGAAGAAGGGTGAAGTCAGCCAACTGCTGCACTGGAGGAGGACAGAGTCTGCCAGTCATTGCACTGGAGAAGGGTGGAGTCAGCCAACTGCTGCACTAGAGGAGGACGGAGTCTGCCAATTATTTGCACTAGAGGGCAGAGTCAGCCAACTGCTGCATTGGAGGACGGAGTCTGCCAATCATTGCACTGGAGAAGGGTGAAGTCAGCCAACTGCTGCACTGGAGGATGGAGTCTGCCAATCATTGCACTGGAGAAGGGTGAAGTCAGCCAACTGCTGCACTGGAGGAGGACAGAGTCTGCCAGTCATTGCACTGGAGAAGGGTGGAGTCAGCCAATTGCTGCACTGGAGGAGGACAGAGTCTGCCAGTCATTGCACTGGAGAAGGGTGGAATCAGGCAACTGCTGCACTGGAGGAGGACGAAGTCTGCCAATTACTGTACTAGAGGGCAGAGTCAGCCAACTGCTGAACTGGAGGATGGAGTCTGCCAATCATTGCACTGGAGAAGGGTGAAGTCAGCCAATTGCTGCATGGAGGAGGACAAAATCTGCCAATGACTGCACTAGAGGAGGGCAGAGTCAGCCAACTGCTGCACTGGAGGAGGACAAAGTCAACCAATCAGTACACTGGAGAAGGGCAAAGTCAGCCTATTGCTACACTGGAACAAGGCAGAATCCGCCAATCCCTGCACTGGAGGATGGCAGAGTCAGCCAAGCACTGAACTTGAGGAGGGCAGAGTCTTGTTTGGCCTATAGGGAAACCTCTTAGAGGGGGGCATGTTCACAATGTGCCGATATATTCCATGGCTGACCAGTGCAGTGAGTGCCGCCTCTCTGTCACCAGGGATTTGTGTGAAGGTGCAAAGTGCCCCCCACTGCAGTGATATCGGAAGTTCCTGAATTGTTGAGCTCAAAGATGTCTGCCTGAACTGTAAGTAGGTGACAGGTACTCACAGAGGCCTATTTATAAAGACCATCAGCATTGCTGTTTGTATTGCAACACTTCTGCCCTCGTTCATAGCTTGATGGACCAATGAGAGAGCAATGAAACTTCAAAATCTAAAATGACTCCATCTTGTCTTTTGCCCTTTTGGAATATTAAGGTTGGACACAATTGTTTTCACTGTGATTGAAATCTAGAAAACACAGCGGAGAAAATACCCACCAGAGCTTTACGAATGGCTGAGATCATTGAAACTGATATTTTTTTTAATATTCATTTTGACTTTTTCTGAAAAGGTCCCTAAAGTTTACGGAAAGCTATTTGGCACAGCATCCAATCAGTAGTCCAGAGCGCAGATCAGAGCCACGCCCCGTTTTATCCAGTGGGTTTGCGGTTGGCTGCTGTGGAGCTCCACTGCGATGACGTAATTGGTGGAATGTCCCGTGGTGGAGAGCGTTCCTGGGGGGGGGGGGGAGAAAAGAATTCTGGTCAATCATTTATGGTATTCAGAGGCTGGTATGTGTATCTATAGGGGTACTAGTGGCAGGTTAAAGGGGTTCCTCCAACTCAGAGTTAACCATCCTCTGATCTATCCGCTGTGCAACTCTCATGCACCCCCTGCCTATATGCGCCTACCTGTTGCAGGGGGCGCATATGAGAGGTGCACAGCGGATAGATCAGAGCTCCCCTTGGTGACCTTCCCAGTACACTGAAGAGGCTGCACCTGTGTCCTTAAAGGGGACCTCCGGTTGAACTACAACTCTGATGATATCCATCTACCCTGGGCTGCTTCTAACACCACCCTAAGAGGGATTCTTGGCAGACCTCCATTTATTTATACACTACGCAATACCTTTGCGCATCCGGTGAGTGCGCATTTTATCTGTTTCCTGCCCCTCACCGAATTTTGTCGATTTATACAACTGGGAATATTGGAGTCACCTTGAGCTTTTATATATTCATTTATACATTGATTACTGACTGGAATTATATTTATGAGATATAGGATTCATACGCATCAGGATTATATTTTAGCGCTGCACGAATATTTTATATATCTTCTTCAGCTCTGCTAAGAAAGGTCTAAACATTTCTATTAGTTTTCCTTTAAGGTTTCTTCTTAAATCAAGATCCTTCTCCACATCACTGCTTGATCTGGTCTCTATATGGCAGCCGTAGAGTTCAGCCTTTTCTCATCCTAGCTTTGGAGTTCCGTACGTAAAACCTACAGGGTTGGACATCGCAGAGCCTGGAAGTGACCTTCGGCCACTGTGCTCCACTTTAGGTGGTCTCTACGCCCTGTTCTGGTAACAAGTTAGCCACAGAGCTGTTGGCATTGCCACAGCTCGTCTCTAAGGACTCAGACTGAGAACAGGGAGTTGCCTTGATATTTGTAAAGGTTATAACCATCTCACCGGTTTTTGGTTGGATTCTAACCTTCATTCTTGCCTACCCTTTTTGGGGTGTTCCCAGTCACCTTGACCTTTCAGTCATGTGGCCATTGTGGGACTGAATCCTGGCTTCTTAGGAGCCATTTCTTCCACGGGTTGTGAACCTAGTAACTGAACTTTGGGTTCCCTGCTCTAGCTTGTGCGGCCCATGTCTGGTCTGGTGGACACTGTCCAGGGTGCAGGATGGGTTAAAAGTCAGTCTAGACCAGCAATGGGCAAACTACGGCCCGGCGGACCTTTTAATCCGGCCCGCGGAGCGTGATACTGTCAGGATGGCTGTCAGGATGTGTGTAGGCGGGGCAGCATGACGAACATGAGGGGAGGGGAGCTAGGCTCCTCTCACAGTCCGCCCTGAACAGCGTGGGAACACGGTGAGAGGAACGCGCGGAGCAAAGGTAAGTAAATTGACACAGGGGGGACTTGGGGACTTAATAGGGGGGATGAATTACTACAGTCAGGTCCATAAATATTGGGACATCGACACAATTCTAACATTTTTGGCTCTATACACCACCACAATGGATTTGAAATGAAACAAACAAGATGTGCTTTAACTGCAGACTGTCAGCTTTAATTTGAGGGTATTTACATCCAAATCAGGTGAACGGTGTAGGAATTACAACAGTTTGCATATGTGCCTCCCACTTGTTAAGGGACCAAAAGTAATGGGACAACTGGCTTCTCAGCTGTTCTATGGCCAGGTGTGTGTTAATCCCTCATTATCCCAATTACAATGAGCAGATAAAAGGTCCAGAGTTCATTTCAAGTGTGCTATTTGCATTTGGAATCGGTTGCTGTCAACTCTCAAGATAAGATCCAAAGAGCTGTCACTATCAGTGAAGCCATCATTAGGCTGAAAAAACAAAACAAACCCATCAGAGAGATAGCAAAAACATTAGGCGTGGCCAAAACAACTGTTTGGAACATTCTTAAAAAGAAGGAACGCACCGGTGAGCTCAGCAACACCAAAAGACCCGGAAGACCACGGAAAACAACTGTGGTGGATGACCGAAGAATTCTTTCCCTGGTGAAGGAAACACCCTTCACAACAGTTGGCCAGATCAAGAACACTCTCCAGGAGGTACAGTGGGGATCGAAAAGTTTGGGCACCCCAGCTAAAAATGTGTATTAATGTGCATAAAGAAGCCAAGGAAAGATGGAAAAATCTCCAAAAGGCATCAAATTACAGATTAGACATTCTTATAATATGTCAACAAAAGTTAGATTTTATTTCCATCATTTACACTTTCAAAATAACAGAAAACAAAAAAATGGCGTCTGCAAAAGTTTGGGCACCCTGCAGAATTTATAGCATGCACTGCCCCCTTTGCCAAGCTGAGACCTGCCAGTGTCATGGATTGTTCTCAATCATCGTCTGGGAAGACCAGGTTATGTCAAACTCAAAGGTTTTAAATGCCCCGACTCATCTGACCTTGCCCCAACAATCAGCACCATGGCTTCTTCTAAGCAGTTGTCTAGAAAACTGAAACTGAAAATAGTTGACGCTCACAAAGCTGGAGAAGGCTATAAGAAGATAGCAAAGCGTTTTCAGATGTCAATATCCTCTGTTCGGAATGTAATTAAGAAATGGCAGTCATCAGGAACAGTGGAAGTTAAAGCAAGATCTGGAAGACCAAGAAAAATATCAGACAGAACAGCTCGCAGGATTGTGAGAAAAACCATTCAAAACCCACATTTGACTGCATGATCCCTCCAGAAAGATCTGGCAGACACTGGAGTTGTGGTCACTATTCCACTATAAAGAGATACTTGTACAAATATGGTCTTCATGGAAGAGTCATCAGAAGAAAACCTCTTCTACGTCCTCACCACAAATATCATCGTTTGAACTTTGCAAATGAACATATAAACAAGCCTGATGCATTTTGGAAACAAGTTCTGTGGACCGATGAGGTTAAAATTGAACTTTTTGGCCGGAATGAGCAAAGGTACGTTTGGAGAAGAAGGGGCACAGAACTGAATGAAAAGAACCTCTGTCCAACTGTTAAGCATGGGGTTGGATCAATCATGCTTTGGGGTTGTGTTGCAGCCAGTGGCACAGGGAACATCTCACGAGTAGAAGGAAAAATGGATTCAATAAAATTTCAGCAAATTTTGGATGGTAACTTGATGCTATCTGTGAAAAAGCTGAAGTTAAAGAGAGGATGGCTTCTACAAATGGATAATGATCCTAAACACACCTCGAAATCCACGGGGGATTACATCAAGAGGCGTAAACTGAAGGTTTTGCCATGGCCTTCACAATCTCCTGACCTCAACATCATTGAAAATCTATGGCTAGACCTTAAAAGAGCCGTGCGTGACAGACAGACCAGAAATCTCAAAGAACTGGAAGACTTTTGTAAGGAAGAATGGGCAAAGATACCTCAAACAAGAATTGAAAGACTCTTGGCTGGCTACAAAAAGCGTTTACAAGCTGTGATACTTGCCAAAGGGGGCAGTACAAGATATTAACTCTGCAGGGGGCCCAAACTTTTGCAGACGCCATTTTTTTTTGTTTTCTGTTATTTTGAAAGTGTAAATGATGGAAATAAAATCTAACTTTTGTTGACATATTATAAGAATGTCTAATCTGTAATTTGATGCCTTTTGGAGATTTTTCCATCTTTCCTTGGCTTCTTTATGCACATTAATACAAATTTTTAGCTGGGGTGCCCAAACTTTCCATCCCCACTGTAGGTGTATGTGTGTCAAAGTCACCAATCAAGAGAAGACTTCACCAAGAGTGAATACAGAGGGTTCACCACAAGATGGAAACCATTGGTGAGCCTCAAACACAGGAAGGCCAGATTAGAGTTTGCCAAACGACATGTAAAAAAGCCTTCACAGTTCTGGAACAACATCCTATGGACAGATGAGACCGACATCAACTTGTACCAGAGTGATGGGAAGAGAAGAGGATGGAGAAGGAACTGCTCATGGTCCTCAGCATACCACCTCATCAGTGATCATGGTGGTGGTAGTGTCATGGCGTGGGCATGTATGGCTGCCAATGGAACTGCTTCTCTTGTATTTATTGATGATGTGACTGCTGACAGAAGCAGCCGGATGAATTGTGAAGTGTTTCGGGAATATTATCGCTCATATTCAGCCAAATGCTTCACAACTCATTGGACGCTTCACAGTGCAGATGGACAATGACCCAAAGCAGACTGCAAAAGACACCAAAGAAGTGGAATGTTCTGCAATGGCAAGTCCATCACCTGACCTGAATCCGATTGAGCATTTCACTTGCTGAAGACAAAACTGAAGGGAAAATGCCCCAAGAACAAGCAGGAACTGAAGACAGTTGCAGTAGAGGCCTGGCAGAGCATCACCAGGGATGACACCCAGCGTCTGCTGATGTCTATGCGTTCCACACTTCAGGCTGTCATTGACTGCAAAGGATTTGCAACCAAGTATTAAAAAGTGAAAGTTTGATTTATGATTATTATTCTGTCCCATTACTTTTGGTCCCTTAACAAGTGGGAGGCACATATGCAAACTGTTGTAATTCCTACACCGTTCACCTGATTTGGATGTAAATACTCTCAAATTAAAGCTGACAGTCTGCAGTTAAAGCACATCTTGTTCGTTTCAAATCCATTGTGGTGGTGTATAGAGCCAAAAATGTTAGAATTGTGTGGATGTCCCAATATTTATGGACCTGACTGTATATGGGGGATTAATTACTATGCTTACTATGGGGGAATATTACTATGGATGACACATACACATCATTCATCTACTCTTGGTCCGGCCCCCGGGTCCAATATATGAACCCATTGCGGCCCTCAAGTCAAAAAGTTTGCCCACCCCTGGTCTAGACTATGGTTGGAGCCACAGAAAGAAAACAATGTCCTGTAAGCTGCACACCAAGAGACCCCCGTGCATCAAAGTGTTGTCAGTAGCCTCAGCTTACTGACGCGTTTCACCCTGCATACAGGGCTTCGTATTTGAGGCCTCAATGACAGCCCCATGGGTGGGGTGAAATGCGTTGAAGGGTGTGGCCAGGGCAGAGATAGACTGAGGCTGCTGACAACTGTTTGATCCACGGGGTTGCTTGGTGTGCGGCTTGTGGGACATCATTTTCATTCCGTTTAACAGATTGTGATTTCAAACTGCTTCAGGATTCTCTGTGATGACGCTTGGTGCAGTGATTACCGGGTTTGACAATCCTACGGTATGGAGTTCTGGTTTCTTAACCCATATGGGGTCAGGTGAGTAGAGACTGGGAACCTACCTACAGAGACCAGCTGGCCTTTGCCTTTACAGGAACTTTTTCTGTCTATCCTCAGGCTGGCCATACATTATACAATTGTCAAAACAAAATTGCTTGATTCCACCATCAACACAGTCCGTTTTGATGGGGGAATCCCTCCCGCTGCACTATTGTAGTCGGACAGTGAAGGTTTCCCCGCCATCATAATACAATGATTACTACCGTTGGCTATAGCAGTGATCATATGGCAAAAAAACCCAAAAAACAACAGGCTGGTCGTATTGAAGTCGATCGATAGATTGACTTCAGTACATCCAGCTTGCCCATAGATGAATCAAAATTCCGCCAGTTCCTGATCTCTAGGGAAAGGGAGATTGGTCATCTGCTATTACTGAACCCTCCTCTTCGCAGTCCCCGCTTTACCTGCCCGGGTCAGGGTCTTGTAGATGGGGCACAGGTAGGTCCCGGAGGTGGAAGGTTTGCGTTCAGACACAGGTACTAGCCAGATGACTGCCATCTCTGTGTAGAGTTCTTTAGGCCTTGATTCTGCCAGCTGCATGGTTGTCTTGTCCCAGCATGCTCCTTCCAGGTACAGGCCGTAAATGTAACACCCCTCTGGAGGGCGCTGCTGCAGCTCTGATACTGTCTCCCGGAGAACCTACAACAGGCAAACAGATAACATCAATGAATCTGCCCAATGGGGTTTAGACTTGGATTAAAACATGGACAGATATTAGGGCAGGGGTGTCAAGCTCAATTTCATAATGGGCCGCAGCAGCAGTATAGATGCCCTCATCTGGGGTGCGTGCAGGGTTATACACAAAGTGCAGGGTTCAAGGGTGCGCTGAGTGCAAGGGATCAGCGGTGCTGAGTGCTATGTACAGAGTGCAATGTTCAGGGGTGCGCTATGTACAGAGTGCAGGCTTCAGGGGTTCGCTACATACAGATTGCAGGGTTGCGCTGAGTGCAGGGTTCAGGGGTACACTACGTACAGAGTGCAAGGTTCAGGGGTGGCTTAAGTACAAAGTGCAGGCTTCAGGGGTGCTCTATGTACACAGTGCAGACTTCAGGGGTGCGCTACGTACAGAGTACATGGTTCAGGGGTGTGCTATGTACAGATTGCAGGGGTTCGCTAAGTGCAGGGTTCAGGGGTGCACTACGTACAGAGTGCATTGTTCAGGGGTGGCTTAAGTACAAAGTGCAGGCTTCAGGAGTTTAGAGAGTGCAGGGGTATACAGAGTGCAGGGTTTAGGGATGTGCTACGTACAGAATGCAGGGTTCAGAGGTGCGCTGTACGCAGGGTTCAGGGGTGCGCTGCGTACAGAATGCAGGGTTCAGAGGTGAGCTGCATACAGTGCAGGGGTTCAGAGGGTTCAGGGGTGAGCAGGGGTATGTACAGGGTTCAGCTACGTACTAAGTGCAGGTTCAGGGGTGCGCTACGTACTGAGTGCAGGGTTCAGGGGTGCGCTACGTACTGAGTGCAGGGTTCAGGGGGGGTGCGCTACGTACTGAGTGCAGGGCGTACTGACGTGCACTGAGTGCAGGGTTCAGGGGGGGTGCGCTACAGGTTACTAAGTGCAGGGTTCAGGGGTGGCTGTACTAAGTGCAGGGGCAGGGGTGCGCTACGTACTGAGTGCAGGGTTCAGGGGTGCGCTACGTACTAAGTGCAGGGGTGCGCTACGTACTGAGTGCAGGGTTCAGGGGTGCGCTACGTACTGAGTGCAGGGGTTCAGGTTCAGGGGTGCGCTACGTACTGAGTGCAGGGTTCAGGGGTGCGCTACGTACTGAGTGCAGTGCAGGGTTCAGGGGTGCGCTACGTACTGAGTGCAGGGTTCAGGGGTGCGCTACGTACAGAGTGCAGGGTTCACGGAGTGCAGGGTTTACGCTACGTATACGTACAGGGGTGAGTGAGGCAATTCTTTCACCCTAATAACACCAGGCAGAGTTCCATTATTTCCAGAGCGTATAAGAAACCGTTTTTGTGCAGACCAGAGTTCTGACGCAGAAAAATGTCTTACCCTAAATTCGAAGGAGATTGTATCGATGGAGATGACGTGTTTCCTGGCAAAGTTCTGTAAGGTTCCGGTTAGGAAAGCCTGAGGGAAGAACAAGCCACTGATCCAGAAGACAGCCGGGATTCCGTCTGTGATCCATTTCTGAAGGAACTTGATTCTCTCGAGAAGGTCAACCACCCAGGAGGACAATGGCTTCAGTGATGGATACGCCTGGATGAAAGCAACATATATTCAAAGATCTGAGCAACAGAGGATTATGAAATGCTGTAGGAGGGTGATGGAGCCCCGTCTGGATTCTGACCTTTGCCCGCCAGAGTTCTGGCACTGAATTGTTATAAAGACTGTTGGCCATGAGCTCCAGCTGGGATGACATGACGACCTGACCTTTCATGGCCTTCAGCAGGTCACTCAGAGTCTGGGAGAGGACGCCAAGGAGACGGTTATACCTGGAGGAATAATAAATATTAAGAGATTGATTTCCTTTATTCTTCTATTTAGCTCTGACTTGTACTGCAGGGCTATATGGAGAACAGTGAGATGGTCACATCAGTCTGCACCAGAGGAGCTTACACTCTAATGTCCAACCACACCGCAATTAGTAGGTTTTTGGTCTCTGGAAAGCAATAGGAATCCAACACAAATACGCCCCTCCATATCACATTCTGGTTTGCTTGAAGGGATTGAACCCAGGACCCCAGTGATATACAAGTGCCAGATCCATATGCTACTCCACGACCTATGGTCATAACTCCTAGACCTCAAATGGTCTCCCATGCTCCATACCGTATGACCTCCTGCACCAACACGGTGTTCATGGACTCCTGGTACATCACGGGGTATTTTTCCATCACTTCCTGCACAGGGATGAGCGATGGAACCTTCTTCAGGATCCCCTCAGCGATTTCTTCCACCATCTGAAGGAAATGACTCGTCGGTGACAGTTCAAACAAGACAGCTGTGTCTGGATACAGAAACCCTACTCACCTCATCACGACTCCCCCCTGCACTCTGCGTCCGTGGCTGCAGCGTCACAAGAGACCCCAGAAGGGCGAAGCTTTCGTTTTGTGCGAATGTGATGTTGGCGTTTTCATGGAGACCAAACAGCTCTGTCAGATCGTTGAGTGGAAGAGAGCGAATGTACTGCAGATAACCCTAAAACAAATGCATGGCAAAAAGGATTAAAACAGTGTGTCCTATGTAAACTAGAGATGATCCACCAATCACAGGCCAGACACCTGAAGCTACAGCTTAAAGCAGCCTTTCTCTGGCTTTTCAACTCAGAGGAACCCTTGAAATAACTTTCTGGGCTCAGGAAACCCCTGCTAAACATTACCATCTCTACAATTCCTGATACATTAGTGTTACATTCAGTGAGAAGAATGTCCCTTACATTGGGGGTCAGTGGGAAGAATGTCCCTTACATTGGGGGTCAGTGGAAGAATGTCCCTTACATTGGGGTTCGGTGAAAAGAATGTCCCTTACATTGGGGTTCGGTGGGAAAAGAATGTCCCTTACATTGGGGGTCGGTGGGAAGAATGTCCCTTACATTGGGGGTCGGTGAGAAGAATGTCCCTTACATTGGGGTTCAGTGAAAAGAATGTCCCTTACATTGGGGGTCGGTGGGAAGAATGTCCCTTACATTGGGGGTCAGTGAGAAGAATGTCCCTTACATTGGGGGTCAGTGAGAGAATGTCCCTTACATTGGGGGTCAGTGAGAAGAATGTCCCTTACATTGGGGGTCAGTGAGAAGAATGTCCCTTACATTGGGGGTCAGTGAGAAGAATGTCCCTCACATTGGTGGTCAGTGGGAAGAATGTCCCTTACATTGGGGGTCAGTGGGAAGAATGTCCCTTACATTGGGGGTCAGTGGGAAGAATGCTCATTACATTGGGGGTCAGTGGGAAGAATGTCCCTTACATTGGGGGTCAGTGGGAAGAATGTCCCTCACATTGGTGGTCAGTGGGAAGAATGTCCCTTACATTGGTGGTCAGTGGGAAGAATGTCCCTTACATTGGGGGTCAGTGGGAAGAAATGTCCCTTACATTGGGGAGTCAGTGGGAAGAATGCTCATTACATTGGGGGTCAGTGGGAAGAATGTCCCTCACATTGGTGGTCAGTGGGAAAAATGTCCCTTACATTGGTGGTCAGTGGGAAGAATGTCCCTTACATTGGGGGTCAGTGGGAAGAATGTCCCTTACATTGGTGGTCAGTGGGAAGAATGTCCCTTACATTGGTGATCAGTGGGAAGAATGTCCCTTACATTGGGGATCAGTGGGAAGAATGTCCCTTACATTGGGGGTCGGTGGGAAGAATGTCCCTTACATTGGGGGTCGGTGGGAAGAATGTCCCTTACATTGGGGGTCAGTGGAAGAATGTCCCTTACATTGGGGGTCAGTGAGAATGTCCCCTTACATTGGGGTCAGTGAGAAGAATGTCCCTTACATTGGGGGTCAGTGAGAAGAATGTCCCTTACATTGGGGGTCAGTGAGAAGAATGTCCCTCACATTGGTGGTCAGTGGGAAGAATGTCCCTTACATTGGGGGTCAGTGGGAAGAATGTCCCTTACATTGGGGGTCAGTGGGAAGAATGCTCATTACATTGGGGGTCAGTGGGAAGAATGTCCCTTACATTGGGGGTCAGTGGGAAGAATGTCCCTCACATTGGTGGGTCAGTGGGAAGAATGTCCCTTACATTGGTGGTCAGTGGGAAGAATGTCCCTTACATTGGGGGGTCAGTGGGAAAACATGTCCCTTACATTGGGAGTCAGTGGAAGAAATGCTCATTACATTGGGGGTCAGTGGGAAGAATGTCCCTCACATTGGTGGTCAGTGGGAAAAATGTCCCTTACATTGGTGGTCAGTGGGAAGAATGTCCCTTACATTGGTGGTCAGTGGGAAGAATGTCCCTTACATTGGTGATCAGTGGGAAGAATGTCCCTTACATTGGGGATCAGTGGGAAGAATGTCCCTTACATTGGGGTCAGTGGGAAGAATGTCCCTTACATTGGTGGTCAGTGGGAAGAATGTCCCTTACATTGGTGATCAGTGGGAAGAATGTCCCTTACATTGGTGATCAGTGGGAAGAATGTCCCTTACATTGGGGTCAGTGGGAAGAATGTCCCTTACATTGGTGGTCAGTGGGAAGAATGTCCCTTACATTGGTGGTCAGTGGGAAGAATGTCCTGTTACTCAGACATCTTCATCCAGTCCCCATGGAATGTGTCAAGGCAGATGTTGACTGCCCAAGAACAGAATGGGAGGTATGAAAGCTGTAGAACCTCCCTGTTCTAGTTACATAATCCCATCTCTTCTGTCATGAAGTCTACATAGGTGTCCGTCATGCAATTTACATGGCTAAATTTAATGGTCCAACATTGGAGGAAAAATTCTACAGGCCAAGATGCCACACTTTTCCTATACCGTAAGGGACGGGGCCATTGTTTAGAGGACGAGGAGCACATTTTGGACAAAGCAGTCAACTGGTACTGAACAGGATTGCCAACCATCCATAAATTTTACGGACAGCTTGTAAACCGATGTACACGCTCTGAAAATGTCTGTTATAGACAGCGGCTACCCATAAAAAATATGGCTACGAGCTGGCTGCGGAACTGCGCATGCAAAAAATGCTTAATGTTAGTTGGGACAGTTCTTTTATCCCTTTTGCTGCGGCACCCCTGGACACTCTTCGTGGCACCCTGCTTGAGAAACCCTGTTTATAGAGGATAAGATACAAAAAAACTGCTCACGTTCAGGTCGTAGGTCGGGTTGATCTGATGGTAAACTCCTGACTCTGAGAACTTGTAACCATCTTCTAGCACCGGCGGCTGGTAAAAGTCCTGCAGGATACTAAGGAGGCATCGTCTGTCCCAGTCGTCGGTGACGCGACCTCCATAATTAATCTCACCAGCCGTGTAACGCAGAACCTGCCACAAAACATACAATTACCTCCTCGCATTGCTGCATGAGGCTGATCTATGATATCTGGACAGATAAGATGTCACATAAAAAGCCATCCCTTTCCTCCTCACCTTGTATGGAATGTCAGTGTACTCCTCCAGAAACATCCGCAGCTGAGAGATACAGATCCTAAGATCTCCATCTGTGAATTCATAAGGGATATTGAATCCCAGCGGACCAAACTTCCGTCTTTCTAGAGTGCTGCCATGGAACAGACAAAGAGATAGCAGCAAGGCCTTGTGTTCCAGAGCCTGTTGGGGGTAGAAGCATGGTCAGTAGAAGACAGGAGGTGGTACACTAGGAGGTTGATGATTCTAGTAGAGAATTGGAGATTCAGATTAAGAAAGTTCTCGGAATTTAGATTTTTACAGTAAGCTATGGATCTGGCAGGTGAAGATCTTGTTTGAGTTGTTCTTCATCCTAGGGAAGCCCACTTTAGCGTTTGGCGGTGCTGGAATGTTAGGCTCCTCAATGGTTTCTTCTATTTCTCAGTAATTCTATTGGTGAGATATCTTAATTGGAAGGGAGGGAGGGAGGGAGGGACATAAAGATGTGCTGAAGACCTTGTAGGAGGGTGAGTACTTACCTTCTTGCAGTCACTTAGTTCTGCATCGGTCAGGCTCAGGTAAGTCCGCAAGAGATTGGCTTTCACCCCACGTGGAGGCTCAATGGTCAGCTTAGAGCCGTTCTGTAATATGGATACTGGGAACTGGTTACTGGGCATACTGGTCAGCCAGAGACGGAAATCCCGATGGACCTGCAGAACAGAGACCGTTGTATTATCACTCACAAACCTGCACAATGGTTGGAGTAGAATTGGACTGCAAAAAATGAAAAACTTACTTTATCAGGGTCAATACTCTCTATTAGCCTCTCCAGGGAGGGCATCCAGCTGGGGGCGAGGTGGCAGTTCTGGAAGAATACCCATTTCCCTCTCTCCATGGCGTTCCTCATCATGGCCTCTGCCCGAGGACCCTGCAGGAAGGAAGACAATCCTGGGAACTCTTTTACTTCAAAAAGTACAATATATCTGGAAATAGTTGACTATATGGATGATCTGATTTGGTATGATGAAGATCCAGGGGGAAATAGGTGTGAAGCTGGCTGAGCAGTGGAAGAGGTACTTACCTGTCCCTGACCCAAAGATATGGCACTAAGTTTCTTAGAGAACCTCATTTCTTCTGCAAACTTGTAGAGATCAGCAGCCGGGTCGGTACCGGGAGAAAGGATGAAGATGAGTGACGTTACAGGAGAGGAATCGCGGAATACTGCGCCCAGGTCAGCCGTCTAATTGAGGAGAAGGATGAATGCGAACTGAAATATTCCACCTCTGCGCAACAATCAGTACTGGACATCTGGAAGGTGAGCGGTCTACTGTACCTGCGGCTCTATGAACCTCTGTCCCAGCTGGTGACACACATAGTCCTGCATGGCATTGGTCACTTTGTCTCCTCGCAGACAGCGCAAAATCAGCATTTTCTGGAAGGCGTCCTAGAGACTGCTCCAAACCACCCGGGAGACCCGCTCTGGAAATGATTATTATTATTATTATTACACAACACGTTTTTATAGCGCCAAAGGGTTTGCTCAGCGCAACAATAGAGGGGGGGACAATACATGGCACAGTACAACAACAACAAAACAACGTCTGGATCTAAGAGTTGGCCCTACACACGACCGCTTACACTCTAGGAGGGAGGGGGTAATGGTACAGTAGGAAGTGGCTTAGGGGAATGAGGGGTGGGAGGAAACAAAAATGCCTTCTTTGGGGTAGGCTCTGAAAATGGGTTTTGAGGGACGCCAAATGTGAAGAGGGAATCTGTCCTTGATGGATTGGGGCTTCAGTTCCAGAGGATGGGGGAGTACCGGCTCCTCCCCTTAGTCTTGGGAGGAGGAGACCAGGGACAGGGATGAAGGGCTCCTGTCCAGTCTTGCGAAGGTACGGGTAGGGCGGTACCTCCCCTTGGTGAGGTAGTCACAGGATTGCTTTGTAGGCAGGGTTAGGAGTTTAAATTTGTGCGTTGGGCAATCGGGAGCCAGTGGAGGGCAGAGGCAGGTGGGGGCTGGCTTCAGGTGGCACAGGTGTAATGGGACAACACGGCTCCTCCCCTTCACACACAACATGGATGTACCGGTTTGCCCCCTTAGTCTTGCAGCTAAAGGTTGTTGGCCCACCACCTTCAGTCAATATCTGCCCAATCGTCTTATAGGTGTACCAACAAATCCTCCCCTTCTTTGCTCTAAATGACACAAATTAAATCTGTCCCGGCTCCTCCCCTTCAGTCTTGCACAGGTGTATTGGCTCCTCCCCTTCAGTCTTGCACAGGTGTACCGGCTGCTCCCCTTCAGTCTTGCACAGGTGTACCGGCTCTCCCCTTCAGTCTTGCACAGGTGTATCGGCTCCTCCCCTTCAGTCTTGCACAGGTGTACCGGCTCCTCCCCTTCAGTCTTGCACAGGTGTACCGGCTCCTCCCCTTCAGTCTTGCACAGGTGTATCGGCTCCTCCCCTTCAGTCTTGCACAGGTGTACCGGCTCCAGCCTGGACTGAAATGGCTTCCTATGATGTCACTGCACACTGTGAGCTTCTCACAATGTGCATTAGAAACTGCAGCCAGTCAGATGGAGCTCCACCTCATTTCCTGGCTGGAGGACATCCAGCATCATCTAGTCTTTCCTCCACAGTCTGACTGTCCCTGGTCCACCTCTTTCATTCATTGGATTTCAGTTCTTTCAGTCATGGAGGCTTAGCATTACCTAGGATGGTCTGCATGCAAATCCAGCCTGACTGGGGAAGGCACACAACTTGGATGAGTAGTTTGTCCAATCTATATCTGGCAGCTAAAGTTGGCCACACACACCATACTGTACAATATCTGCCCAGCTTCCAGCATTCACAATGGACTACTGACTTGGGGACATCTATAGATGATTAAGAATGGAACCAAATTTGGGAAACCGTGAAATCCAGTTGCCGCAATGTGTTGCCTGTAGAAATGAATTGCACAATGATATCTGGTACCAATTCGAATATTTCCCTTTATGTACATGGTTATTCTCCTTGTTATTCGAGGATGTTGGACAACTGGGAACCTTTTATCATACCTGGTGAACCTGCCCGGTGGCCCTGCAATACTGGACCAATATCCTCCTCCTTTTTATTACGCCTCAGGGACACGAGATTCCCCCAAAGTTCACCCTTCTGTGTGTCAGACCAACTTACATTTTCAAGGCTCAATTTCGGTCTATTGTCCATACTGATACTGAGCAGAAGATTGGTAAAGCCTGGAAAACTCCTACGTTTCCCATAAGAACTTGCACTGCTTCAGACTGGCATCTTCTAAAGGTATTTTGATATTTGCATAACTCCTCCCTCCTAGGACTCACCGGTGTGGCTCGGGGCTGTCGCAGATCCTCCGGTACTCCTCGCCGTATTGGGTGATTTGCTCTTTGATGTTGCTGAAGTTGCTTAGTAAATTCAGCGCTTGGATGTCCCTCCAGGCTCGCTCGGTCAGCCACTCTGAACATGGATTCTCAGCCAGATTGGGCGCTGTACCCCCCGACAGCAAGAAACGCCATTCATCCTGCAGAACATAGCGGGGGCAATGAACTAAAGAGTTAAACAAGTTCCCACTGCGAACCTCCCCTGTTGGGTTTTATTATTACATGAGTAATATACATGATTTCTATAGCGCCAACAGTTTATACAGCACTTTACATTACAAAAGAAGACAGCACAGTTTTCAATACAATTCAATACAAGAGGATTAGTAGAGCCTTATCATAGGAGCTTACTATCTAAAAGGGAGGGGCAAGTGATACAAAAGGTAATAACTGTGGAGGGATGAGTTGATGGAGAAAGTTAAAGTTAATTTATTAGGTGGAAGTGGCATAGGCATCCCTGAAGAGATGGGTTTTCAGGGATCACCTAAAGGTGGACAGGGTAGGCGATAGACAGATTGGGGTAGGGAATTCCAGAGGATGGGAGAGGCTCTGGAGAAGTCCTGGAACCAAGTGTGGAAGGAAGTGAGGGAGAGCAGGAGGTCTTGGGATGAGTTGAAAGGATGGTTTGGGTGATACTTTGAGATGAGATTGGTGATATATTGTAGCTTGGGCAGAGTTGTGGATGGCTTTTGGGGGACATTGAGCAGAGGCCAGCAGAGGGATTGCTAGAGAGGGGTGGAGGACACTGAGCGGAGATCAATAGAGAAATCGTCAGAGAGGGGTGGAGGACATTGAGCTGAGGCCAGTGAAGAGATTGGCAGAGAGAGGTGGAGGACACTGAGCGAAGGCCAATAGAGAAATCACCAGAGAGGGGTGGAGGACACTCAGTGGAGGTCAGTAGAGGGGTAGGCAGAGAAGGGTGGAGGACATTGAGCTGAGGCCAGTGAAGAGATTGGCAGAGAGGGGTGGAGGACACTGAGCGAAGGCCAATGGAGGGATTGGCAGAGAGGGGTGGTGGATACTGAGCAGAGGCCAATAGAGAAATCGTCAGAGAGGGGTGGAGGACATTGAGCTGAGGCCAATGGAAGGACTGGCAGAGAGGGGTGGTGGATACCAAGCAGAGGCCAATAGAGAATTTGGCAGAGAGAGGTAGAGGACACTGAGCGGAGCCCAATGGAGGGGTTGGCAGAAAGGGGTGGAGGACACTGAGCGGAAGCCAGTGGAAGGAGTGGCAGAGGGGTGGAAGAAATGGAAGGATTGGCAGGGAGGTGTGGTAGACACTGAGCAGTTGGCAAGGTGGATATGTCCATCAGCAGACTGAAGGGGAATAGTCTGTGTAGAGGTAGGCCAACAAGTAGGCAGTTGCAGTATTCGAGGCAAGAGATGACCAGGCAGTGAATTACTAACCTGGTTGTGTCATTGGTGAAGAAGTGACAAAGTCCAGGATTACACCTAACACCCAGGTATGACGGGAGGAACTGATAGTTGTGTTATGGTGGAGACTTCAAAGAAAATGGAAGGGGAAGGGAAAAGGGGTTCTACAAAACTAATTTTTAGAAACCTTTAATTATAGGACATGATGAGGCATTGAAGGGGTGAGGTGAGAGGAGTGAAGAGAGAGATTTGGGTGTCCTCACCACAGAGATGGTATTGGAAGCCATGAGAACTTATCAACTGACCAAGGGAGGAGGAGGAGTAGACAGAGAACAGGAGAAAGATGAAGAGGAGAGCAGGAGAGAGTTGTAGGTGACAATGAAGGAGAATGAAAGAAAAAAAAAGTCTCAAAGGTAAATGGAGTGGAGTTCTCTGAGGAGGAGCGGGTGGTTAACTGTGTCGAGGGAACATTTATATACGGTACAAACTGGAAGATTCCTTCTAACTGCCCCTAATGTATATAGACAGTGTATATAGATGGAACCGGAATATGGCATCTCACCATGTGAATGAGCCCCTTGTCCATGAGGATTCGCACACACAGCAGGAAGGAGAACATGAGTTTGTGCTTCTCGAACAGACTACGGCACACATTGCTGTACAGGCTGAAGGTGAAATACGTGTTTATGTTTTCGATACGCTTCTCCACCGTTTCTGAAACAGCCAATCACAGGACAAGGTTAGAGCACTGTACTTTCTCTTTCATACAATCCCAGTTCTATGATCTAAAATAATGAGAGCTCAGCACTCTGCTGGCAATTGCAGAGGTTTCCAGCATTAGAAAAGGTCAATGTGGGGTTGCAGAGGGTCCCTTACATGTTCTCACTATACTGCTTAGAGCAGTGGTTCTCAGCCTCCCTCCTCCCAGGCCTCCAGCTAGCTGCAGATCACCTAACTTCTCACATTGCCTCCCTGCTCCCATTAGGGCGTATTTACCACAAGGCAAACAAGCCACTTGCCTAGGGTGACATTTTTTAGGGGGGCAGCACCTCCCCCCAGAAGAAGGGATGAAAGAAGGAACACACGCAAGATGGGAACCAGGTGGGATCCAAGAGAGGCTATGGGCTACTTGGTGGTGTATGTAGAGCTTGACTCTCATTCCCGGGGATGTCCGGAGCTGTAAAGATGAGTGTCTTTCTCCCTATCGCTGGGGGTGTGGGGGTGGGTAGTGGAAGGCTCTCCCAGGTGGTGGGCAGGGGTGCTGTTGGTCAATGTCAGGCTCTCTCCATGGGAGGGGGAAGGGGGTGTTGGTCGGTGTCCATGGGGGGAGACAGTTTTTGTGTTGCCTAGGGCAGCACAAAACCTAAATACACCACTGGCTCCCATATTGGCTCTCAATGCCCCTCAACCTCTCACAGTGCCCCTAGGCCCCCTAAAATCCCTCAGTCCTTACAGTGCCCAACAGCCTCCCACAGTTCCCCCTAGCTTGTTGCAGATCCTCCAGCCTCCTGTCCCACATTGTGCCCTCCAGTCTCCCTCAGTTGCCTCTAAAAGTTGGATCTTTATACTAAGATTTACCTGTCTAGACCTCCACCAATACATATCCTGTTGAAAAATCTACTTGGAGAAGCTATGAAACGTCTTCAACAATACAGAACAAGAATGGTCTTCAAGCATTGATTGTGACTAAATGCTACAACTAGCTATACCAGGACCTGGAAACCTTCACAGCCAAGGAGAGATGTAGAAGAGTAACAAAATGCTGACCCAAGACCAGTTGCAGGGAAGGATGGTCCATGAGGGTCCCCCCATGTATTTTGAATAGGATTTCATCAGGGGTGGTTTTACAAACGTCAATGGAATTCACGTAGATTGATAATAGAAACTAGAGAGATCACCACACAGAAATTTGCAGCGCTGGAACGAATAAGATGGTCAGGTCTGACATAATTAGGTATGCTGTAAAAATGTAGCTTTACCTGCTCTCTCGGAGTTAGCAATGGCAGCGGTGAAGATGCCCAGAAACCACTCCAGTGAATACTGGTACATCGGATCCACGTTGGACAAATCCGAGACACAGAAGAACAAGATCTGCGTCCTGACAGCCACCGGGACATACTGGGTGCCGCGTGCTGTCTATGTCCTTCTCGGTCTGTTCAGCCACCTGCACTTTTGCCTGTAGAAAGGGGAAGTTAGGTCACAGTTGGCCCTGGGAGCAGATCAGAAGCCACAACAGAGAATTGTCGGTCCACTGCTCACCTTGATCTCAGCCGCTTTTACTTTGGAGGCCTCCAGTACTTTGATGAGATCCACATCGTCCACGGGGTTTCCCTGGGAGGAGCTGAGACGGGTCAGGATTTGATCCTCAATTTCCTTCAACTCTTGCCGCATTTTAGCGTTGGACAAGATTAGCTGGTTCTTCGCTTCTTTCTAAATCAGGTCGCTCTTCCGCCACTACCTGTCCAAGGAGCTGATCCTCCAGACCACTGAGGGGGCAATAATAGGAGGGGAATCAAGAGAGGATGGCTGCTAATCTGTATTTGATCACTCATGGCAAGTCAAAAATACACTCATAGCCCCAGAAAATGGTTCTCAATGGAAGCCACAGCTCATTGCTTCCTCAATCCCTATGCACGGTGTGTGGACAGGATCCTGGAAGTCAAGGTAGCAAGCTTTGCTGGATAAGAAATCAGTGTATTTGTGTGAGGGACAGAAATGGGGGAATAGGAGGCATTCTGTAGCCAAGTGTTTCTCAACTAGGATGATGTCTGGATTCCTCAAGTGTATAGCAAGCATGGTGGGTTACCCAGTCCACCCCGGTCATGACTTGCCATGATGCGAACAGGCCAGCCGCCAGCACCATACCAACCAATAATGCTGTAGAACCATTACGCACAGCATCATGCATTGCTATGGTGATGGGGGCGGTCTCACCTGTACCACGGCAATGCATGACTCTGATCTAGGTTAGACGGCATGCAGAAGAAGACGAAAGTCCGCCTCTTCTGGATCTCCTCCACCTTCCACACTCTGCCATGCTACTGGAGCCAAAAGGTAAGGTTCTAATGGGAAGAGTGGACTGTGTGAATGGGGACTCTATGATGGGGGGGGGGGGGGGCTGTGTGCCTGGGAGCTATATGTTAAAGGGGAAGTACAGCCAAAGCTCTTTTGGCCTTACTTCTGCAGATCACAGGAGTGCAGTTTGTTCTGCAGATCACAGGAGTGCAGTTTGTTCTGCAGATCACAGGAGTGCAGTTTGTTCTGCAGATCACAGGAGTGCAGTTTGTTTCTGCAGATCACAGGAGTGCAGTTTGTTCTGCAGATCACAGGAGTGCAGTTTGTTCTGCAGATCACAGGAGTGCAGTTTGTTCTGCAGATCACAGGAGTGCAGTTTGTTCTGCAGATCACAGGAGTGCAGTTCATTCTGCACTCCTGTGACCAGTGGTGGGCCTAGGGGCACTGTGAAAGGTTGAGGGGCATTGAGGGCCAATATGGGAGCCAGTGGTGTATTTAGGTTTTGTGCTGCCCTAGGCAACACAAAATTGTCTGCCCCCACAGACACCGACCAACACAACCCCCCTTCCCCCTCCTACGGAGACAGCCTGCCCTTGACAAACAAACACCCTGCCCCACACTCGTCGGGAGAGCCTTTCACTACCCCCCCTTTCCCCAGGCGATAGAGAGGCACTCATCTTCAGAGCTCCGGACATCCCCGTGAACGAGAGTCAGGCTCTACATACACCATCAAGCAGCCCGCAGCCTCTCTCTGATCCCACCTGGTTCCCATGGTGCACGTGTCCCTTCTTTCATACCTTCTTGTGGTGGTGGTGGGGGGGGGTGCTGCCCCCCTGAAAAATGCCGCCCTAGGCAAGTGCCTTGTTTGCCGTGTGGTAAATACGACCCTGCTTGTAACCCGTTTTCAGCTGACAGCGGACTGAAGTCTGCCGTCGGCTGCCATCACTCAACAGGTCCAGGCTGGGGAAAGATCCCGACTTTAAAGTTGGGATCCTCCCCAGTCTGGAGCGGCACCTGGGATCTGCTGAAAGCCTGAGCCAGTCACTCCCTCCCCTACACAGCCCAGTGCTCCAATAAGTGCTGGGGGGGGGGGGGCACAGCAGACAGCGGTGACTGACAGTCACCGCTCTCTGCTCAGAGCGGCTGTGAGAACTCAGCGATCAGCAGTCACTTAGAGCGGGTGGGGGGCAGATGCTGCAATCCACCTTGTAAGATAAATTGGGGACAAGAAAGCCCCACTTCCAGCCTCGTATCGGTAGGAGGACCTTTACATTTGTGAATGTGATTAGCAGTTCTTCCACATATAACCACCTTCTGGTATAATTAGTTCTTTCTTAGGATGTGACATTGATAATATATAGAAAAGTGTAGCTGCGGTCAGTCAGGATTCTCCTACCTGGGGGACAATGTGAAGTTGATGAGGGTGACCTTGGTGCAGATCTCGGGTGGATAATGGGGATTCGGCAGTTTGGTGGTTATATACATCCTGAAGTCTTCGTGATATGGGATGACGGCGTCCCCCAGACGTAGGACGGTGCTCCCCTGCTGCTTGTATGTCTGTAGCAATGTAAGGACACACGTCAGTGAGGAGCAGAGACCCCCGGAAGATGCCACCACCAGGAACACTCAAGTTCTTCTCCTACCTGTTTGAGTAATACGGGTTCCAGGGCCGGGTCCAGCTCTTCCCCAACATTCTCCAACATGAACGGCTTTCCGAAGCGGATCGCGTTTTCTAAACTGCGCAGGAAGTCGCGGTCGCTGAGCTTTACCACATCCAGGCCGTTATCTTTCTCCTGGGAGAGACACAGAAGACAAAGTGTTGATTGTGTCCCATGTAGACATGAGAACTCCACAACCACATGTATCAATATACTGCATGTTCAAAATCAATTCCCAATGGACATGCCATATACAGAAACTAGGCTTGGCGTACATCACCGAAACTGAAATTGCAACCAATTTTTCTGAAATAATTTGTCAGAATTAACCTCAATTTTAGCTGTGGTGACATTTACTTTCCTCACTTTGGCTTTGTATTCCAATCTGCGATTACCGTACTAACTCTAACATCGAGATCACATGGTTTTGTTGATAAACAAAGCCAAATCAGTGACAGCTGCCTGTGAATTTCTATGTGGATTTAAAGTGTTACTAAACCCCGGACCCCGCGTTCACTGTATCCGCTCTCCCCGGACCCCGCGTTCACTGTATCCCGCTCTCCCCGGACCCCGCGTTCACTGTATCCGCTCTCCCCCGGACCCCGCGTTCACTGTATCCGCTCTCCCCGGACCCCCCGCGTTCACTGTATCCGCTCTCACCCGGACCCCGCGTTCACTATATCCGCTCTCCCCGGACCCCGCGTTCACTATATCCGCTCTCCCCGGACCCCGCGTTCACTGTATTCCGCTCTCCCCCGGACCCCGCGTTCACTGTCCGCTCTCCCGCAGACCCCCCGTTCATAGTCCTATATTCCGCTCTCCCGGATCCCCCCCGCGTTCACTGTATCCCGCTCTCCCCGGACCCCGCGTTCACTATATCCGCTCTCTCCCGGACCCCGCGTTCACTGTATCCGCTCTCACCCGGACCCCGCATTACTGTATCCGCTCTCCCCGGACCCCGCGATTTTACTGTATCCGCTCTCTATACCGCTCCGGACCCCGCGTTACTGTATCCGCTCTCCCCCGGACCCCGCATTTACTGTATCCCGCTCTCCCCGGACCCCCGCGTTTACTGTATCCGCTCTCCCCGGACCCCGCGTTTAACTGTATCCGCTCTCCCCCCGGACCCCGCGTTTACTGTATCCGCTCTCCCCGGACCCCGCGTTTACTGTATCCGCTCTCCCCGACCCCGCGTTTACTGTATCCGCTCTCCCCGGACCCCGCGTTCACTGTATCCGCTCTCCCCGTACCCCGCGCTCTCCGCTCTCCCCCCGGACCCCGCGTTCACTGTATCCGCTCTCCCCGGACCCCGCGTTACTGTATCCGCTCTCCCCGGACGCGTTTACTGTATCCGCTTCCCGGACCCCGCGTTCACTGTATCCGCTCTCCCCGGACCCCGCGTTCCACTGTATCCGCTCTCCTCCCGGACCCCTTCCGCGTTCACTGTATCTCCCCGGCTCTCTCCCCGGACCCCGCGTTCACTTACTGTATCCGCTCTCCCCGGACCCCGCGTTTCACTGTATCCGCTCTCCCCGGACACCCCCGCGTTCACTGTATCCGCTCTCCCCGGACCCCGCGTTCACTGTATCTCCCCCGCATTCACTCCGCTTCCCCGGACCCCGCGTTCACTATATCCGCTCTCCCCGGACCCCGCGTTCACTGTATCCGCTCTCCCCGGACCCCGCGTTCACTATATCCGCTCTCCCCGGACCCCGCGTTCACTATATCCGCTCTCCCCGGAGACCCCGCATTCACCCCGTTCACTATATCCGCTCTCCCCGGACCCCGCTATATCCGCTCTCCCTCTCGCCCGGACCCCCTATATCCGCGTTCACTGTATCTATATCCGCTCTCCCATTCCTAGACCTATATCGGACCCCGCGTTCACCATATCCGCTCTCCCCGGACCCCGCATTCACTCCGCATTCTATCCGCTCTCCCCGGACCCCGCATTCACTATATCCGCTCACCCCGGACCCCGCATTCACTATATCCGCTCTCCCCGGACCCCGCATTCACTATATCCGCTCTCCCCGGACCCCGCATTCACTATATCCGCTCTCCCCGGACCCAGCATTCACTATATCCGCTCTCCCCGGGACCCCGCATTCACTATATCCGCTCTCCCCGGACCCCGCATTCACTATATCCGCTCTCCCCCGGACCCCCGCATTCACTATATCCGCTCTCCCCGGACCCCGCATTCACTATATCCGCTCTCCCACAGTACACGCATCTAACATGGAAATGCAATTATTTTAGTAAATATAACTGCTAAATACCTTTTTCTCATCAGCAGTATATAGCAGTCTTGCGACATCTATCAGTGTCTGGCTAAACACAGGTTAATCTTTTAGGAGGAGTTTTCATTCTCTTCTGACTGTCCTATGGGGCTTCATAACCCTTGACCTCTGTCTGGACAGTGCTGATTGGCCCTGTGCTGATCACATGCACTCTCCCAAGAAAAAAAACTCTAGCAATACACACCAAACTGAGCATGTGCAGTTTGCCCCCAAGGCTCTGTTCTAACAGCAGATAAAATAACTAACCTAAAGAAGATAGTTACCAGGTCAGGTCATCTCACACTGGTTTCTTGGACATGACAATGAGGTCACTGGACTCCAATGGCCTCCACAGTCACCAGATCTCCATCCAATGGAGCACCTTTGGGATGTGGTGGAACGGAAATTCCCATCATGGATGTGCAGCCAACAAATCTGCAGCAAGTGCGTGACACCATCATGTCAATACGGAGCAAAATCTCTGAGGAACGTTCCCAACACCTTGTTGGATCTCTGCCACCAAGAATGAAGGCCAAAGGGGGTCCCACCCGGACTAGCGAGGTGGACCTGATACAGTGGCTGGTGAGTACATTTCTCTAAACATCACGTGTTTCGTTAGCTCACCAGGTTTTTGATCCAGCGGGTTGGCCTGTCCTTGAGGGTCGATGAAATGAGACCCAGCGCTGTGAATACTGGCATATGACACCGTTCTCCACCGACAGCGTGTCATTCGGAAGACCTGCGATCTGAGGAAGAGGGGGATTAGTATGACGTGTGCAGATACCAGGAGGGACATCTTATCTTTTTCACCACCACAGGACCACCCTTATTGTTACACAAAGGGGTTCATCCCACATGTCCACATCACCTGAATTACTAGTCATACACACCTTCAGATATTATATAAACTGTCCTTTGTGTCAGTGGGAGTCAACACTTCCCCTTACTTGGTGTCAGTGGGATGAATAGTGCCCCATCATTGGTATGAGTGGAGGAATAGTGCCCCATCATTGGTATTAATGGGAGGAATAGTGCCCCATCATTGGTATCAGTGGAGGAGTAGTGCCCCATCATTGGTATCAGTGGGAGGAGTAGTGCCCCATCATTGGTATCAGTGGGAGAATAGTGCCCCATCATTGGTATCAGTGGGAGGAGTAGTGCCCCATCATTGGTATCAGTGGGAGGAATAGTGCCCCATCATTGGTATCAGTGGGAGGAATAGTGCCCCATCATTGGGTATCAGTGGGAGGAGTAGTGCCCCATCATTGGTATCAGTGGGAGGAATAGTGCCCCATCATTGGTATCAGTGGGAGAATAGTGCCCTATCATTGGTATCAGTGGGTGGAATAGTGCCCCATCATTGGTGTCAGTGGGAGGAATAGTGCCCTATCATAGGTGGCAGTGGAGGAATAGTGCCCCATCATTGGTGTCAGTGGAGGAATAGTGCCCCATCATTGGTGTCAGTGGAGAATAGTTTGCCCCATCATTGGTATGAGTGGGAGAATAGTGCCCCATCATTGGTATTAATGGGAGGAATAGTGCCCCATCATTGGTATCATGGGAGGAGTAGTGCCCCATCATTGTATCAGTGGGAGGAGTAGTGCCCCATCATTGGTATCAGGTGGGGAGGAATAGTGCCCCATCATTGGTATCAGTGGGAGGTAGTGCCCCATCATTGGTATCAGTGGGAGGAATAGTGCCCCATCATTGGTATCAGTGGGAGGAATAGTGCCCTAATCATTGGTATCAGTGGAGGAATAGTGCCCCATCATTGGTGTCTGTCAGTGGGAGGAATAGTGCCCTATCATAGTGGCAGTGGAGGAATAGTGCCCCATCATTGGTGTCAGTGGAGGAATAGTGCCCCATCATTGGTGTCAGTGGAGGAATAGTGCCCCATCATTGGTGTCAGTGGAGGAATAGTTGCCCCATCATTGGTATCAGTGGGATGAATAGTGCCCCATCATTGGTATCAGTGGGAGGAATAGTGCCCCATCATTGGTGTCAGTGGGAGGAATAGTGCCCTATCATAGGTGTCAGTGGAGGAATAGTGCCCCATCATTGGTGTCAGTGGAGGAATAGTGCTCCATGGTTGGTGTCACTGGAGGAGTTTTGCCCCATTGTTGGAGTCATTGGCAGGAGTTGTGCCCCAATCGTTGGTGTCATTGGGAGGAGTTATGCCTCATTGTTGATGTCAGTGGGAGGAATTTAGCCTCATCATAGGTGTCAGTGGGAAGCATAGTGCCCCATTGTTAGTATCAAGGGGAGGGATTGTGCCCCATCTTTGGTGTCAGTGATAAGAATAGTGAGCCATTGTTGGTGCCAGTGGGAGAAATTGTGCCCCATCATTGGTGTCTTTGGGAGGGATTGTGCCCCATCTTTGGTGTCTTTGGGAGGAATAGTGCCCCATCATTGGTGTCAGTGGAGGAATAGTGCCCCATCATTGGTATCAGTGGGGGAATAGTGCCCCATCTTTGGTGTCTTTGGGAGGAATAGTGTCCCATCATTGGTGTCAGTGGGAAGAATAGTGCCCCATCATTGGTGTCAGTGGGAAGAATAGTGCCCCATCATTGGTGTCAGTGGGAGGAATAGTGCCCCATCATTGGTGTCAGTGGGAGGAATAGTGCCCCATCATTGGTATCAGTGGGAGGAATAGTGCCCCATCATTGGTGTCAGTGGGAGGAATAGTGCCCCATCATTGGTGTCAGTGGGAGGAATAGTGCCCCATCATTGGTGTCAGTGGGAGGAATAGTGTCCCATCATTGGTGTCAGTGGGAGAATAGTGTCCCATTATTGGTGTCAGTGGGGGGAATAGTGTCCCATTATTGGTGTCAGTGGGAGGAATAGTGTCCCATTATTGGTGTCAGTGGTGAGAATAGTGAGCCATTGTTGGTGCCAGTGGGAGGAATTATGCCCCATCATTAGTATCAGGGGAGGAACTGTGCCCCATATTTGGTGTCATTGAAAGGAATTGTGCCCCATCATTGGTGTCTTTGGGAAGAATATAACTGGATATAACATTTATAGGGGAAGGTGATCCAGGGAATATCCGATTGCCTCTCGGGGGGATCAGGAAGGAGTGTTTCCCCTGCAGGAGCAGATTGGATCGCGTTTTGCTGGTTTTTTTGCCTTCCTCTGGATCCACTGTGGGTGTAGGATTATAACTTTTATTTTTTTACTGGTTGAACTGGATGGACTTTTGTCTTTTTTCAGCCAGACTAACTATGTAGCGACAATGTGCTCGGTAAACAAGGCCTGGATTGGCGGCAGCTCGTCAGGTGACCTATACACCACACATAAACTGTGCTGTGAACTGCAGGACCTGGTTAATAAATAATAATAATAATATTTGCTCAGCAATATCAGCCCCGGGAGACATCTGATATGACGAAACGCGTCGGAAAGAGCCTTTCCTGTACGATTTTACCAAACGTTTGAATTTTTGATGCTGTTTGGTGACTATACTGAAACATTTTATGATATTTATGCTTGTAAGTGCGGCTCTTACCTATTAAATGGTGTTGTATACTATCTGCACTATGAGACAAGTATTTTTTTGTTTCCATTGAACCTTAAATGCACAACCTATATTCGCCATCCATCTGAGGAGCGGTCTGAGATATCAGTGTCTGGATTGGCCTACAGGATTCCTCTTTTGGCCTATTTACCAAAGAATAAGGGGTCCGTGTATCTGGTAAGCCTGCATCTTGCTTCCACGGTGGTGTTGGGTGTCACTGGTGATCAGAAGAAGATTTTGGATGGTTTTGGACTGTTCACGTTCCCAGGGGAGTGCTCTATAGTTCTTACCCTGGGACATTTTTGTTTATGTTTTCTTCACTCGACTTTTAGGTTTTATCATTTTTGCACTTTAATGATACATTTTTTTTTGATTTTCTGGATAATTTTATATTATTTTTATTTATTTGCGATACATATATATCTCATTGTTTATTTGGCATCAGATGTTTTGAGCGCATTATTATTTAACCGTTTACTGGAGAGGATGTCCTCTTTGGTATTTTCTGCTTACTCATTTTCTTTCTCCACATTTAGCGTGGTTTACATTTTCGCTTTCATTAATATCTGTGTTGCTATGGCTATTTGTAGTTATTTTTATAACACTAATATGGAGGAACATTTTAGTTACATGTGTGGTTTTCGGAAGCTAGGCCTCCCCCACGGATATGCCAATGCAGTGTTTCTCAACCTTTTTTCAGTCAAGGCACCCTTTAAAATGATGGACAGTCCTGAGGCCCCCCATTCTAAAATGTGAAAAACTATTCTAATAGTTTTTTATAACGCAGCAACATCCACACATGTAGGACACCCAACATTGGAGAGGATTTATTCTTCCACAGCAAATACACTTTTGCACACTGCTACTGACTAGTACTCCAATGTTTCTCTCCTCCATCAGTTTTTCTCCACCACTGAGCTAATGTGACCCCACCACTGATGGAGAGGGGCAGAGGAGGGGCAAACTAGGATGCTGTGCAGGCAGCTGACATCCTCCTTATCAACTGATGATGTCATTGGTTGTCAGGACGGCAGCAGCTAGAAGGTCGTAATGGTGCACAATGAAAACCTGTGACTTTGTGTAACTTGTTCCACCCGCTGGCTTGTATACATGTTTTGGGCAATTTTTGACATTTTGCCAAGGTACCCCTGAAGAAACCTCAAGGCAACCCGGGGCGCCTGGGCACCCTGGTTGAGAAAGGCTGTGCTAATGAACCCGTTGGACTAGTTTGTGAAGTTCTTTACAGAAAATGAGGTAGCAGAAAGTGAGGGGAAGGGAAAGGATTTTGAAGAAGCCATGTGGAGACAGAGTTGTTCTGGAGAGAGGAGAAAGCAGTTGTTCTGGAGACAGAGAGAGAAAGCAGTTGTTCTGGAGACAGAGGAGAAAGCAGATGTTCTGGAGACAGAGGAGAAAGCAGTTGTTCTGGAGACAGAGGAGAAAGCAGTTGTTCTGGAGACAGAGGAGAAAGCAGTTGTTCTGGAGACAGAGGAGAAAGCAGTTGTTCTGGAGACAGAGGAGAGGAGAAAGCAGTTGTTCTGGAGACAGAGGAGAAAGCAGTTGTTCTGGACTCCGAGAAGCAGGGAGCCATGGGAAAATTCCATCAGCAGGAGGAACCACTGAGTGTACTCATTATCCATGCCAATGTATACTGTATGCATATTTTGTATGCTTTGCATGCTATGAATGGTTTTCCATGCAGTTGTTTGCGCTGCCTTTCTGTTTAATAAAAGCAAATATTAATACCCTGCAGAGGTTTGATCACTTCCTTGGCTTGTACCGCAAACAACTTTAATAGACGTAAAGAAAAACAAAATCTTACTTTAGTCTCTGCAATAACTTACCTGCCAGGAACGGATCTTCACAGGGTCTCCCAGTGTTCCTATCAGGGATGGCTCCTGGGTACAAGGTACCTCCAGTTCCTTCAGCTTCTTTGTCCACTGTTCAAACAGAGCCATCCGATACTGGCCCTGTGGGGAATAAGGATCCATATCATCAAGATCTGCTCTAGTAAAGCAATCTAATAGAGGAAACTCGCAGCATTCTCCTACCGTGAAAGGTCCAAGATAGGCCAAGAAGCCGGCACAAAGCAGAAGGTCTCCAGTGACGTTGACTAGAAGGTTCTCCAGGTTCAGCACCGTTTCCTGCCAGCGCTGCCTCTCGTCGGCCAGTCCGGTGATCAGCTAGGGTACAGAATGAGAGTGAGTATAAAGAATGGGGGGGGGGGGGGGTAATAAATGGGGTGAGGGTTATCCAGCAGAAGATGTGGATAATCGGGTGAATATGGAAACCGAGGTGAAGGTGAGGCATTTGGCTCTGGTCACCTTGTCGGCACGGCCCAGCTTCTGCTCGCACTGCTCACACTTCTGCTCCAGCTCTTCTTTCTTGGACACGCAGTCGCGGTATTTGGCTTGTAGGGTTGCGATTCCCTCTTCTACTTCGCTCAGCCGAGCTTTCGCCTCGTCCAGAATCTTCTGAGTCTCCTCCAAATCCTCCTGAGCTTCCCGTAGTGCTTGCTGCAGAAAATACAACAAAATCTGCTGAGGCAGCCGTGTATTGAAACGTTCTGATATCAGGAGGACCAATCAACTAATCCACTGACTAAAGGATAAGTCGTTCTAGGAACTCTTCAATCACATTTTGGTAGAATCCGGAACATTTAGGCCCCATGTACACGGGACACTTCTGAACGATAGAAACTGACTGCTGGAAAACGCAGGTTAAAAAAAAATCTGCTTAGCCGCGTTTGCATAACGTGTTTATGTGCGTTTGCATTTAGAAGCGTTTTTTAAAGATAAGCACAAGAGAACCTACCAAATGCCCAGAATGCACTGAAAAGTGGCAAATTATTAACTATTTCAGAGAAATACAGAGAGTAGAAGCAGAGACAGCAGTATGTGTGGAGATTAGCTTAGCTGTGAGTTGCTCATTAACATTTCTTTTGTTTCCAAGGGTGGGAAAGGTGTCTGGTGGGGGGTCATTATGGCCAGCTGGCAGGGGGGTCTTCATGAGGAATTTGTGGTGTGAATGGTCATTAACATATCTTTTGTTTCCAAGGGTGGGAGAGGTCTGAGGTGTGATTGGTCATTAACAAATTTTTTGTTTCCAAGGGTGGGAGAGGTCTGCGGTGTGAATTGGTCATTAACATATATTTTGTTTCCAAGGGTGGGAGAGGTCTGAGGTGTGAACGGTCATTAACATATCTTTTGTTTCCAAGGCTGGGAGAGGTCTGAGGTGTAAATGTACATTAACATATCTTTTGTTTCCAAGGGTGGGAGAGGTCTGAGGTGTGAATTGGTCATTAACATATCTTTTGTATCCAAGGCTGGGAGAGGTCTGAGGTGTAAATGGACATTAACATATCTTTTGTTTCCAAGGGTGGGAGAGGTCTGAGGTGTGAATGGTCATTAACATATCTTTTGTTTCCAAGGTGGGAGAGGTCTGAGGTGTAAATGTACATTAACATATCTTTTGTTTCCAAGGGTGGGAGAGGTCTGAGGTGTGAATGGTCATTAACATATCTTTTGTTTCCAAGGCTGGGAGAGGTCTGAGGTGTGAATGGTCATTAACATATCTTTTGTTTCCAAGGCTGGGAGAGGTCTGAGGTGTAAATGGACATTAACATATCTTTTGTTTCCAAGGCTGGGAGAGGTCTGATTGAAACATTAACATATCTTTTTGTTTTCCAAGGTGGAAGAGGTCTGAGGTGTGAATTGGTCATTACAATGTATGACAAGCTTGGTAGGAACATCCTGTGTTCAGTGTTTTGTCCATCTGAGCACCTTGAAAACACTTTGCATTCATTTTTCACGATGAAAAAAGGCTCTGGACAGCATTGGGAACTGGAAGAGTTAAAAAAAAATTCAAATGCAAACACTCAGAAATGCGATTTGCCGCGTTTAGCGTTTCAAACGCTGATAAAATCGACTGCTAAACGCAAGTTTTCTGTGTTCAAAAAAATGACTGTAAACTCAACTGCCTGTAAACGAAGATGTGTACATGGACACAGGAGAACATTAGGGAGAGTTCAGGGGCTGCTGAAAAAAAAAAAAACGCATAACAGCTCCTAAACGTGAGTTTATCAGCCGCAGTGTACATGGGGCCTTAAGCCCCCTTCTTTGGGGAATCTGGGAAATCAGGCCATTCGGCAAAATGTAAGGATTTATTGGTGGTCTTAAGGGTGTTGGGGTGGAGCAAGGCGGGGCGGAGCAGGTGGGGTGGAGGGGGTGGAGCGAGGTGGGTGGAGCAAGCGGAGCAAGGTGGGTGGAGCAAGGTGGGGTGGAGCAAGGTGGGGTGGAGCAAGGTGGGGTGGAGCAAGGTGGGGTGGAGCAAGGTGGGTAAGGCGGAGCAAGGTGGGGCGGAGCAAGGTGAGGCGGAGCAAGGTGGGGCAAGGTGGGGCTCACTGCTTGTATCTCACCAGCCCCCCCAGGGGTGATATGAATTACAATCCATTACTATGTCAAATTTTCAGAACTTACTCGTTTGGGTTCCACGCCTCGTGCCACAAAGTGGTATTTGTGCATGGCCCGGACCCACTGGCAGATGGAGGTGCACGCCTTAGAGACGCGGGCGATGGCGGCCGGCTGGAACTCCTCGTTGTCGATGTGCGGCTGGATGGCTTTGATCACCGCATCGGGAATATTGTCCTGACAGCAGAGAGATTAGATGCCACTCACAATTCTCAATTCCTGTCTGTCATAAGCTGTACAATCACTGTATATCCCTTGCGTGTGTTCTGTCCCGCCTCTATGTATTTCTTCTGTATTGTACTGAACTGTATCAGGTTGCTATTGCTTTGATGTATGCTGACATCTAGTGGTGGTTTAGGACCAATACAGCTTGTTTACTTATGTGGTTTGGTATCTCCTATCTTCCCCTCCTGTTCTGTGCTAGTTAGTTTAGTTCTAGCTAGACCCTCCCTCTTCCATATACTTCACAGAGACAGGGCTTAGGAAATTCATTGTCTCCTTACACCTCAACACTGGAAATACATCCTCTGTACTGCAATAGTTTGAAAACCTTTCATAGGCTTTTTGGGTGTGGTTTGAGTGTGGGCAAGGACACAGGGGCCACATGATCCCCTATTGTCCGGGGGCCCCATGAGTTCTTAGTCCGCCCCTGTTCAAGTGTATATCCCACAGGATAATGAGGTCATATGTTTCAGTATACATGAGGTCATATGTTTCAGTGTACATGTGAGGTCATATGTTTCAGTATACACGAGGTCATATGTTTCAGTATACACGAGGTCATTGTTTCAGTGTACATGAGGTCATATGTTTCAGTATACATGAGGTCATATGTTTCAGTATACATGTGAGGTCATATGTTTCAGTATACATGTGAGGTCATATGTTTCAGTATACATGTGAGGTCATATGTTTCAGTATACATGAGGTCATATGTTTCAGTATACATGAGGTCATATGTTTCAGTATACATGAGGTCATATGTTTCAGTATACATGAGGTCATATGTTTCAGTATACATGAGGTCATATGTTTCAGTATACATGAGGTCATATGTTTCAGTATACATGAGGTCATATGTTTCAGTATACATGAGGTCATATGTTTCAGTATACATGAGGTCATATGTTTCAGTATACATGAGGTCATATGTCTCAGTATACATGAGGTCATATGTCTCAGTATACATGAGGTCATATGTCTCAGTATACATGAGGTCATATGTTTCAGTATACATGTGAGGTCATATGTTTCAGTATACATGTGAGGTCATATGTTTCAGTATACATGTGAGGTCATATGTTTCAGTATACATGAGGTCATATGTTTCAGTATACATGAGGTCATATGTTTCAGTATACATGAGGTCATATGTTTCAGTATACATGTGAGGTCATATGTTTCAGTATACACGAGGTCATATGTTTCAGTATACATGTGAGGTCATATGTTTCAGTATACACGAGGTCATATGTTTCAGTATACATGTGAGGTCATATGTGTTTCAGTATACATGTGAGGTCATATGTTTCAGTATACACGAGGTCATATGTTTCAGTATACATGTGAGGTCATATGTTTCAGTATACATGAGGCCATATGTTTCAGTATACATGAGGTCATATGTTTCAGTGTACATGTGAGGTCATATGTTTCAGTATACATGAGGTCATATGTTTCAGCATACATGAGGTCATATGTTTTTCAGTATACATGAGGTCATATGTTTCAGTATACATGAGGTCATATGTTTCAGTGTACATGTGAGGTCATATGTTTCAGTATACACTGGACATATCATATATACGGCAGCACAGGGGCTAAATGGTTAGCACTCCTGCCTGGCAGTACTCGGGTCGTTGGTTCGAATCCCTACCACGGCACCACCTGCCTGGAGTTTGCATGTTCTCCCTGTGCCTGCGTGGGTTTCCTCTAGGTACTCCGGTTTCCTCCTACATGCCAAAGACATGCTGGTAGGTTAATTGGCTCCTGTCTAAATTGGCCCTAGTATGTGTATGTGAGTTAGGGACCTTAGATTGTACACCCCTTGAGGGTTAGGGACTGAAGTGAATGTACAATATATATGTAAAGCGCTGTGTAAATTGAAGGTGCTATATAAGTACTAGTTACATAGTTAGTCTGGTTGAAAAAAGACAAAAGTCCATCCAGTTCAAACCCAGGCGGGTGGCACATAAAAAAAAATGTTATAATCCTCCACCCCACAGTTGATCCAAGGTTGTGCAAAAAAACCAGCAAAGCACGACCCAATTTGCTCCTGAAGGGGAAAAAAAAAGAAGCGCCTTCCTGATCCCCCGAGAGGCAATCGGATATTCCCTGAAATCACCAAACCCAATAAAAATTCAGTTATATTCTGTGTATCCAAGAAAGAATAGAGACCCTACAGCAATCCACATGAGGGGGCCACACCAGTTCTCTGGAGGAGTCTATTCCACATTCTCACAACCTCTTACTGTGAAGAAACCTGCTTCCGATGTTTGGAGATTACCTTTCTGTTCCTCTAGACATAAAGAGCGACCCCTTGCTCTCCTCTGTGATGACCTCTGGGGAATAACTCTGACAATTACGCTGTTTGTGAACAATTTAAAAAAAATAAATTGAGTTTTGAATTCAACTTCTTTTGTCTTGTTGAAGAGTTAAGCTGTTGTGGATTTCGTGCTCAAATCAGCAAGCAAGCCTAAAGACCAGACAGACTGAGTCTAAGGAGGTATGGAAGCGTATAAAGCAACCATTAAAAAAACAGTTTTATAAGCACGCACCTTGTCATACTTGAAAAGCATCTCCAGCAAACTTGATCCAATCTTGCAGCAGCCCTCTCCCCTGATCCCAGTAGCAATCAATTTTATTCCGGGCTTTCCCGGCCACTTTCTTCGGTTTGATTCCTTTCATTATACAGACGGCTTTCAATGACAAGCTTCACTGACCCAACGGGGGGGCTCTGCAGGGCTCTCACCTGAGGATCAAAGATATACAGATGGCAAGGAGGATTTTCATTGGAAGGTGTATTGTGCATGTCTGAGGTGCATCTGAAATACCTTTCACATGTGTCTGACCTACACTCACCATGACTTGTATGGAGGAATAAAGCAAAACAACCTCTTGGTGCGTTTCTGCCATTCTTTCTGAATAGCACCCCAACACACTGGGGCAATGCAGTTCCAAACACACGTTGCAGGGCACCACAATGCACGGTAATGGACAACAATGCGTTGTTGAAGATGCCGCATTGCCCAAAAATGCAAGCACGCCCTTACAGGCATAAGTCCACTGTCTTCATGGTCAATCTGGCCCTACTGGTCTCCCACCAGTCCATGCTAACCTCACCGATGGCAGTAAGTCCCACCAAGATCCCAGCACGTAGCGCCACCTTCCCACAAGAAGATGCCCAGCATCTTAGCGCCACCTTCCCACCAAGATCCCAGCAGTAGCGCCACCTTCCCACCAAGAAGATCCCAGCATGTAGCGCCACCTTCCCACCAAGATCCCAACAGGTAGCGCCACCTTCCCACCAAGAAGATTCCAGCATGTAGCGCCACCTTCCCACCAAGAAGATCCCACACGTAGCGCCACCTTCCCACCAAGAAGATCCCAGTACGTAGCGCCACCTTCCCACCACCAAGAAGATCCCAGCACGTAGCGCCACCTTCCCACCAAGAAGATCCCAGCATGTGAAGCCACCTTCCCACCAAGAAGATCCCAGCATGTAAAGCCCACCTTCCCACCAAGAAGATCCCAGCATGTAAAGCCACCTTCCCACCAAGAAGATCCCAGCATGTAGCGCCACCTTCCCACCAAGAAGATCCCAGCATGTAAAGCCACCTTCCCACCAAGAAGATCCCAGCATGTAGCGCCACCTTCCCACCAAGAAGATCCCAGCATGTAGCGCCACCTTCCACCAAGAAGATCCCAGCATGTAGCGCACCTTCCCACCAAGAAGATCCCAGCATGTAGCGCCACCTTCCCACCAAGAAGATCCCAGCATGTAGCGCCTACCTTCCCACCAAGAAGATCCCAGCATGTAGCGCTACCTTCCCACTCCCAAGAAGATCCCAGCATGTAGCGCCACCTTCCCACCAAGAAGATCCCAGCATGTAGCGCCACCTTCCCACCAAGAAGATCCCAGCATGTAGCGCCACCTTCCCACCAAGAAGATCCCAGCATGTAGCGTCACCTTCCCACCAAAAAGATCCCAGCATGTAGCGCCACCTTCCCACCAAGAAGATCCCAGCATGTAGCGCCCAGCTTCCCACCAAGAAGATCCCAGCATGTAGCGCCAGCTTCCCACCAAGAAGATCCCAGCATGTAGCGCCACCTTCCCACCAAGAAGATCCCAGCACGTAGCGCCACCTTCCCACCAAGAAGATCCCAGCACGTAGCGCCACCTTTCCACCAAGAAGATCCCAGCATGTAGCACCACCTTCCCACCAAGAAGATCCCAGCATGTAGCGCCACCTTCCCACCAAGATCCCAGCACGTAGCGCCACCTTCCCACCAAGAAGATCCCAGCACGTAGAGCCACCTTCCCACCAAGAAGATCCCAGCATGTAGCGCCACCTACCCACCAAGAAGATCCCAGCATGTAGCGCCACCTTTCCACCAAGAAGATCCCAGCATGTAGCGCCACCTTTCCACCAAGAAGATCCCAGCATGTAGCGCCACCTTCCCATCAAGAAGATCCCAGCATGTAGCGCCACCTTCCCATCAAGAAGATCCCAGCATGTAGCGCCACCTACCCACCAAGAAGATCCCAGCACGTAGCGCCACCTTTCCACCAAGAAAGATCCCAGCATGTAGCACAACCTTCCCACCAAGAAGATCCCAGCATGTAGCGCCACCTTCCCACCAAGATCCCAGCACGTAGCGCCACCTTCCCACCAAAAAGATCCCAGCATGTAGCGCCACCTTCCCACCAAGAAGATCCCAGCATGTAGCGCCAGCTTCCCACCAAGAAGATCCCAGCATGTAGCGCCAGCTTCCCACCAAGAAGATCCCAGCATGTAGCGCCACCTTCCCCACCAAGAAGATCCCAGCACGTAGTGCCACCTTCCCACCAAGAAGATCCCAGCACGTAGCGCCACCTTTCCACCAAGAAGATCCCAGCATGTAGCACCACCTTCCCACCAAGAAGATCCCAGCATGTAGCGCCACCTTCCCACCAAGATCCCAGCACGTAGCGCCACCTTCCCACCAAGAAGATCCCAGCACGTAGAGCCACCTTCCCACCAAGAAGATCCCAGCATGTAGCGCCACCTACCCACCAAGAAGATCCCAGCATGTAGCGCCACCTTTCCACCAAGAAGATCCCAGCATGTAGCGCCACCTTCCCATCAAGAAGATCCCAGCATGTAGCGCCACCTTCCCATCAAGAAGATCCCAGCATGTAGCGCCACCTACCCACCAAGAAGATCCCAGCACGTAGCGCCACCTTTCCACCAGAAGATCCCAGCATGTAGCACAACCTTCCCACCAAGAAGATCCCAGCATGTAGCGCCACCTTCCCACCAAGATCCCAGCACGTAGCGCCACCTTCCCACCAAGAAGATCCCAGCATGTAGCGCCACCTTCCTATCAAGAAGATCCCAGCATGTAGCGCCACCTTCCCATCAAGAAGATCCCAGCATGTAGCGCCACCTACCCACCAAGAAGATCCCAGCATGTAGCGCCACCTTTCCACCAAGAAGATCCCAGCATGTAGCGCCACCTTCCCCCAAGAAGATCCCAGCATGTAGCGCCACCCTCCCACCAAGATCCCAGCACGTAGCGCCACCTTCCCACCAAGATCCCAGCACGTAGCGCCACCTTCCCACCAAGAAGATCCCAGCATGTAGCGCCACCTACCCACCAAGAAGATCCCAGCATGTAGCGTCACCTTCCCACCAAAAAGATCCCAGCATGTAGCGCCACCTTCCCACCAAGAAGATCCCAGCATGTAGCGCTACCTTCCCACCAAGAAGATCCCAGCATGTAGTGCCACCTTCCCACCAAGAAGATCCAGCATTTAGCGCCACCTTCCCACCAAGAAGATCCCAGCATGTAGCGTCACCTTCCCACCAAAAAGATCCCAGCATGTAGCGCCACCTTCCCACCAAGAAGATCCCAGCATGTAGCGCCAGCTTCCCACCAAGAAGATCCCAGCATGTAGCGCCACCTTCCCATCAAGAAGATCCCAGCATGTAGCGCCAGCTTCCCATCAAGAAGATCCCAGCATGTAGCGCCACCTACCCACCAAGAAGATCCCAGCACGTAGCGCCACCTTTCCACCAAGAAGATCCCAGCATGTAGCACACCACCTTCCCACCAAGAAGATCCCAGCATGTAGCGCCACCTTACCACCAAGAAGATCCCAGCAATGTAGCGCCACTTTCCACCAAGAAGATCCCAGCATGTAGCGCCACCTTCCCACCAAGAAGATCCCAGCATGTAGCGCCACCTTCCCACCAAGATCCCAGCACGTAGCGCCACCTTCCCACCAAGAAGATCCCAGCATGTAGCGCCACCTTCCCACCAAGAAGATCCCAGCATGTAGCGCCAGCTTCCCACCAAGAAGATCCCAGCATGTAGCGCCAGCTTCCCACCAAGAAGATCCCAGCATGTAGCGCCACCTTCCCACCAAGAAGATCCCAGCACGTAGTGCCACCTTCCCACCAAGAAGATCCCAGCACGTAGCGCCACCTTTCCACCAAGAAGATCCCAGCATGTAGCACCACCTTCCCACCAAGAAGATCCCAGCATGTAGCGCCACCTTCCCACCAAGATCCCAGCACGTAGCGCCACCTTCCCACCAAGAAGATCCCAGCACGTAGAGCCACCTTCCCACCAAGAAGATCCCAGCATGTAGCGCCACCTACCCACCAAGAAGATCCCAGCATGTAGCGCCACCTTTCCACCAAGAAGATCCCAGCATGTAGCGCCACCTTCCCATCAAGAAGATCCCAGCATGTAGCGCCACCTTCCCATCAAGAAGATCCCAGCATGTAGCGCCACCTACCCACCAAGAAGATCCCAGCACGTAGCGCCACCTTTCCACCAAGAAGATCCCAGCATGTAGCACAACCTACCCACCAAGAAGATCCCAGCATGTAGCGCCACCTTCCCACCAAGATCCCAGCACGTAGCGCCACCTTCCCACCAAGAAGATCCCAGCATGTAGCGCCACCTTCCCATCAAGAAGATCCCAGCATGTAGCACCACCTTCCCATCAAGAAGATCCCAGCATGTAGCGCCACCTACCCACCAAGAAGATCCCAGCATGTAGCGCCACCTTTCCACCAAGAAGATCCCAGCATGTAGCGCCACCTTCCCATCAAGAAGATCCCAGCATGTAGCGCCACCTACCCACCAAGAAGATCCCAGCACGTAGAGCCACCTTCCCACCAAGAAGATCCCAGCATGTAGCGCCACCTACCCACCAAGAAGATCCCAGCATGTAGCGCGCCACCTTTCCACCAAGAAGATCCCAGCATGTAGCGCCACCTTCCCATCAAGAAGATCCCAGCATGTAGCGCCACCTTCCCATCAAGAAGATCCCAGCATGTAGCGCCACCTACCCACCAAGAAGATCCCAGCACGTAGCGCCACCTTTCCACCAAGAAGATCCCAGCATGTAGCACAACCTACCCACCAAGAAGATCCCAGCATGTAGCGCCACCTTCCCACCAAGATCCCAGCACGTAGCGCCACCTTCCCACCAAGAAGATCCCAGCATGTAGCGCCACCTTCCCATCAAGAAGATCCCAGCATGTAGCACCACCTTCCCATCAAGAAGATCCCAGCATGTAGCGCCACCTACCCACCAAGAAGATCCCAGCATGTAGCGCCACCTTTCCACCAAGAAGATCCCAGCATGTAGCGCCACCTTCCCATCAAGAAGATCCCAGCATGTAGCGCCACCCCTCCCACCAAGATCCCAGCACGTAGCGCCACCTTCCCACCAAGATCCCAGCACGTAGCGCCACCTTCCCACCAAGAAGATCCCAGCATGTAGCGCCACCTTCCCACCAAGAAGATCCCAGCATGTAGCGCCACCTTCCCATCAAGAAGATCCCAGCATGTAGCGCCACCCTCTCCCACAAGAGCCAAGAAAGAATCCAGTACATAGTAATCTACCTGAGTCCTGGATGGGATGTTGGACTTGTGTCCAGATAATTCTGGTTGGGTTTCTCATATATGGAGTCAAACAAAGCAAATGTACTTTTTTCACTGTTCTCCTCCTGCTAACCCAACACACGGTCCACCTTCTCCTTTCCTCATTGGCTCACCTCTGTGACATCATTCTTATTAAGAGATTTCAGGCTGGCGAGAGCGGCGTCCAAGGCAGGAAGGGCTTCATCCAGGTCCTTCTGGGCATCATCTGCAATTTCCTGGGCTTTGCGCGCCTTCTCCGAGGCTTTGGCCTCCTCTGCCTGTACTGAGGCTCGAGTGGCCTCCGCCACCACCGTATCTTCCTGGAGGGGTGAAGGAGAATGGTGTCAGACACGTAGTGGGGAGGGAAAAGACTGTAAGGTGGAAGACAAATATTCTCCAACACAGACAAAGGCAAATCTATAAGGGACCTCAATTTTTTGCATTGTTGTCACAGTGTCCTGTGCTGCCTCTTCCAGTAGGGGGCGCATTATCTCCAACTCTTCCTGCATCTTAGCTACATCCTCAGCTGTGTGAAGCAACTGAAAAAATACAGCAAATATGAAATGTTGTCACAGTATATAATATTTATGTATTTCATTTATATATGTAAATAGCTCTGACATAGACCGCAGCGCTGTACAGAGAACACTGAGCCAGTCACATCAGTCTCTGTACCAGAGGAGCTTACACTCTAATGCCCCCTCCCCCACAGTCACATCAGTCTCTGTACCAGAGGAGCTGACACTCTAATGCCCCTTCCCCAACAGTCCAATCAGTCTCTGTATCAGAGGAGCTTACACTCTATTGTCCCCTCCCCCACAGTCCCATCAGTCTCTGTACAGAGGAGCTTACACTCTAATGTCCCCTCCCCCACAGTCACATCAGTCTCTGTACCAGAGGAGCTTGCACTCTAATGTCCCCTCCCCCACAGTCACATCAGCCTCGTACCAGAGGAGCTTACACTCTAATGTCCCCTCCCCCACAGTCACATCAGTCTCTATACCAGAGGAGCTTACACTCTAATGTCCCCTCCCCCACAGTCACATCAGTCTCTGTACAGAGGAGCTTACACTCTAATGTCCCCTCCCCCACAGTCCCATCAGTCTCTGTACCAGAGGAGCTTACACTCTAATGTCCCCTCCCCCACAGTCACATCAGTCTCTGTACCAGAGGAGCTTACACTCTAATGTCCCCTCCCCCACAGTCCCATCAGTCTCTGTACCAGAGGAGCTTACACTCTAATGTCCCCTCCCCCGCAGTCACATCAGTCTCTGTACCAGAGGAGCTTACACTCTAATGTCCCCTCCCCCACAGTCACATCAGTCTCTGTACCAGAGGAGCTTACACTCTAATGTCCCCTCCCCCCCAGTCACACACTATTATTATACATGTATATAGCTCTGACACATTGGATTCCAGAAGATACGGCCGGTCGGTATTCCTCCTCACCTTGTCCAGGCCGCTCTTCATCCGATCTTTGGCAGTTTTGATCTCCATCAGTTTTTTTCCGATCAGATTGGAGTAGATCCCCAGCAGCTCCAGGTAGCTCTTCGGGGTGATGTAATTGTGTCGGGAAAGTTCGGCTAAATATTGCTTGGACTTCACGGCGACTGACTGGTGCATCTCCACACACATCTGTATCTGTAAGAGGAAGGCGGACGTTCTGAAAGCTGAATACACAAAAGGAAATACGTACTGTATATCGGAGCTGTTCTACATGATTTGTGTTTCTGTCCATCCAGTTCTGAGGTTTGCACAGCTCTGCTACACAGTACATCCCTGCCTGGCAAGGCAGATCTAATATTTTTTTCTCTGCTGCAGTGCAGTAACACATACAGGTCTGGTCCCTCCCCCCAGCGTGTGATTGGATAGATAAAACCCACCTAAGAAAATGACTCAAAAAAGAATTTAATGTATATATAAGTGATACCAAAAATAGGGGAAATGGGGAAGGAGGAACGCTGGGGAGTCCACATACAGTACCGAAGAGTATAAACGAGGTGCCACCAGAGTATCTGGAAGGGTGCCACCTAACCAACTATCAAAAAACAAAAGAAAATAAAAAAATAGGCTGCACTCCTAATAGGCCTCAAGATAAAGTGTATTGTACACCAATCACAACGATACAAACACCGGAGCTACGACATGCAATCCAACACCACAGGGGGCGCCACCCCCGGGAAAACAGGGGACCCTCCAATTGGGACATAAAGAGGAACAATATCCACTGGGACTATCCTACTCCCGATGGTAACCTCTAAGAGCCACTCCCAACCACCTCCCACCCTACCAACCACTCCCAACCACCCCCCACCCTACCAACCACTCCCAACGACCCCCCAGTAGGGTGGGGGGGTGGTTGGGAGTGGTTGGTAGAGTGGGGGTTGGTTGGGGGGAGGGGGGGGGGGTGGGGGGGGGGGGGGGGGAGTGGGGGGGGGTGGGGGGGGGGGGGTAGGGGGGGGGGGTGGGGGGGGGGGGGGGGGGGGTGGGGGGTGTGGTTGGGGGGGGGGGTGGGGGTAGGGTGGGGGGGGGGGGTTGGTAGGGGTGGGGGCGTAGGCATCTGTCAAGACGTACAGGTAGCAGGGCACTAGGACCCAGGCGCATCCATCGTCTTGACAGTACTAGGCAGGCACTGGGACCTAGGCGGCGACGGTCAGGTGCAGGGCGGGCTACTTAAGCCAGCCCTGCACAGATGCTTGTTGCCGAATGGTCTTTTGTATCCTGTTGCCTGTGTAGTGAGTACTCTGATCTGGATTGTCTGACCTTGTTGCCTTCTCCTGTCCTGACCCCTTGGCTTGCCTGACTCTGCTCCTGGATGTTCCCTTATAGATCTGATCTTTTGGTATTGACCCTGCGTGTGACCCGACTATCCTTTGCCTATCGTCTTGTACCTCACCGATCCGCTAGTTACCGACCCAGCTTGTTTGACTCTGACTTTGCTCATCCGTCCATCCATCCCTCAGGGATCCCTGGGCTCCCTCACATCAGACTCTTAACCCGCTGGAGCCCTTGGCAGACTCCTCTACCTCTGGTAGAGATACCTAGCAGCTGCGACCTGGTCCCGGAGCGCTCCAAGTCCATCCCCACCATCAGGGGCCCTGGTGAGCAAGTGCTCCGGTACTTAGACTCCGCACTCTGGGGAGGCTCTATCAGGGGACTGATAGAGGTACTGTCAGGCGGTCCGTTACAGTTCCATCTTTGATGTCCCAATTGGAGGGTCGCCTGTTTTCCAAGGTTTTGAGGTTGGCCTATTAGGTGTGCCGCCTTTTTCTTCTTTTCTTTTGTTTTTGATATATAAGTGATACATTGTAGACTGTTCAGCAAGGATGAGACAAATGTATTTTAATTACAACCATACAGCTCCTCCTTTATACTGAGAGCAGGGGGTGGACTCCATCCAGCACCGACAAAGAACGTACCATGCCCTCGATGACGGAATCTTTGGACTCCAGCTCCGGGATCTCCTTCAGGAAAGATGAGGCTACGGATTGTAAAGCTTCTGCCGGCCATTCGTCAAACCAATCGATGGTACAGCAGGTGACCAAGGAAGGGAACTGCCGGAGACGAGCCCGAAACACCTCGCCTATAGGACTACAAAGTGGAAATTGGATGAGAATTGGAGGTTCAAAGGGCAGAGGACCCTAAACTCCAATGGAACCTTCAGGAAACAATGTCCAGTTGTAGCATAAAAACAATATATGGTCACCAAAATATGGTTTACGGTGTTTAGAGTTTTTCCTCTGTCTGCAAATGTTTTCTGCTGGGATTTTGCCCAAATTTTTTGAACAATTTTCTTCCATTTTTTTGGTCGTTTGTAAACTTTGTAACAATAGTTCTCTCCCGGAGGTGAGGGGGAGCAGACACCGCTTGTAACCAACCTCTGGAGTCAAGCGTGCTGAGTGTATGGAGTGGCCTCAGCACCATGCTAGCTATGCCCCCCCCCCCCGACGTGTTTCGTCTTGCCCATCAGGGGGCTTGGTCACAGAGGCGAGAGGAGAATAGGCTGCTAGAGCACAGGTGTCAAACTGCAACCCAACAGCTGTTGAGAAACTACAAGTCCCATCATGCCTGTGCCTTTGGGAGTCATGCTTTTAACTGTCAGCCCTGCAATGCCATATGGGATTTGTAGTTCTGCAACACCTGGAGGGCCGCAGATTGACACCCCTCTGCTAGAGGATATATTCTCAGCATCATAGGCCCGGAAGTGGATCAGGTGTGTGGAGGTGTGAAAAATGCGAAAAGAAAAACCCAAACAAACAATCAGAATGAAAGGTATGAAAGGAAAAAAAAAAAAAAGGAGAAGAGGTCAGAAATAAAAATATGTAAAGAAAAATAAGATGAAAAAAAAAAAAAAAGAATAAAAGTAAGAATAAGAATCAAAATAGAAAAAAAAAAAAGCTGAAAAAGAATAAAATGTAAAAAAATGGAAATAAAAGCTAAAAAAAAAATATAAAATGAAAATAAGATGAAAAAAAGAGAAAAATGAGCAACATAGAAAAAACAAAGTACAAAAAGGGAGTTGGATACAATAATAAAAGATTAAAAAAAAGGGGGAAGGAAGGATTAAGTGAAATGAATAAAGCAAAAAAAAAAAAAATAACAGGAGGGATGAAACATACAGAAAAAACGAGAGAAGAATAGAAAAAATCTAATGGATAATCTAAACTAAACTGAAGAATAATGTAAAAAAAAAAGTATTAGGAATCAATCAAATTGGAAAAAGAAAAAAATACTTCTTTCCCTTTCAGTAGATTCCCATCTTGTCTTAAAGCTGCAAGTAATAGAATGATGGCGCTGGAACCTTTGGTAGACGATAACTGTGTGCTATTGGTGTTTGGCAAAACTGTACTGGTGGTATCCTATTGGAGCATCTACACTATATTGCTAAAAGTATTGGTCCCCGGCCTTTCCACACACATGACCTTTAATGGCCCCCCAGTCTTGGTCCGTAGGGTTCAATATTGAGTTGGCCCCGCCCTTTCCACACACATGACCTTTAATGGCCCCCCAGTCTTGGTCCGTAGGGTTCAATATTGAGTTGGCCCCGGCCTTTCCACACACACATGACCTTTAATGGCCCCCCCAGTCTTAGTCCGTAGGATTCAATATTGAGTTGGCCCCGCCCTTTGCAGCTATAACAGCTTCAACTCTTCTGGGAAGGCCGTCCACAAGGTTTAGGAGGGTGTCTATGGGAAGGTTGGACCATTCTTCCAGAAGCACATTTGTCAGGTCAGGCACTGATGTCGGGGGAGGGGGCCTGGCTCGCAGTCTCCGCTCTAATTCATCCCAAAGGTGTTCTATGGGGTTGAGGTCAGGACTCTGTGCAGGACAGTCAAGTTCCTCCACCCCAAACTGGCTCCTCCATGTCTTTATGGACCTTGCTTTGTGCACTGGTGCGCAGTCATGTTGGAACAGGAAGGGGCCATCCCCAAACTCCTCCCACAAAGTTGGGAGCATGAAATTGTCCAAAATGTCGCCTTAAGAATTGCCTTCACTGGAACTAGGGGGGCCAAGACCAACCCCTGAAAAACAACTCCACACCATAATCCCCCTCCACCAAACTTTACACTTGGCACAATGCAGTCAGGCAAGTACCGTTCTCCTGGCAACCGCCAAACCCAGACACATCCATTGGATTGCCAGAGAGAGAACACGTCTCCACTGCTTTAGAGTCCAGTGACGGCGTGCTTTACACCATGGCATCCAACGCTTTGCATAGTACTTGGTGATGGAAGGCTTGGATGCAGCTGCTCGGCCATGGAAACCCATTCCATGAAGCTCTCTACACACTGTTGTTGGGCTCATCTGAAGGCCACACCAAGTTTGCGCACCCCCTACTCGGAAATGCACTCCAAAGACATGCTGGGAGGTGAATTGGCTCCTGTCTATATTGTCCCTAGTATGTGTATGCATGAATGTGAGTTAGGGACCTTAGATTGTACGCTCCTCGGGGGTGGGGGCTGCTGTGAATGTACAATATATATGTAAAGCACTGTGTAAATTGATGGCGCTATACAAGTACCTGAAATAAATAAATAAATGCAAGATCACATGCATGTACGTGATTGTGTGCAGCCCTGCCGTCCTGCAAGAGTATTTCTGCTATAGGGCGGCGGGGAAGCGGTTAAAACAACTACCGTGCCACCATCCATATAGAGAAATAGAAGGGAGAAGGTCTATTAAATATTGTGTTTAGTGTCACTTTCAGTATTTTTGTCAGTTGGTTGCGGATCACTTTTGCTGTGTTTTTCTGTTTGCTGGCGGTTGGATGCGTTTTGTTTCACCGTTAAAGAATATATAGTCTGGCCTCAGTTTCCTAGTGTAGCATCCCTGCTGCTGATTCCTGACAGTCAAGGTCACGGTTTCTCAGCTAGGGTTCCTCCAGAGGTGGCCAGGGGTTCCTTGAGCCTTGAGAATTTTTGACTCTCAGATGTGTTCCCACTAACACCATTGATCTTTTTAGCTCTCTGTAAGGGGGGTAATTCTTCCAAAAAACCACAGGTGTAAGGAACATTCTTCACACTGACAATTACACGCATGTATCAGGGGTTCTAGACAGTCATTTTTAACAGGGGTTCCCTGAGGTTAGAAAGGTATTTCAGGGTTCTTCTGTGTTAAAAAGG